AATATGAAAGTAATCAATTTGTTTTTCCTCCGTTACATATATTCAGATGTCCACATTTGATCATTAAGAGATCTATTTCTTACACAAAGTCCCACACTGCTCATTCATAACAGGCATCACGTCCGTTACACAGATAAAAACAGAGCCACTATAGGTAACTCATTTCTGTAACAGTTATCTAGCATCTACGAATGGACTGACGAGGGATTTGGATAAATGAAAAACATACAAAAATTAGGGCTGTCAAAATTATCGCGTTAATTCACGTTAATTACCGTTTTCATTAACGCGTTAAAAAATAATTAACGCATGTCCGAATGACCCGCCATCCATCCATCCATCCATTTTCTACCCTTTAATCCATTTCTGGGTCAGGGGGGTGGCAGTCAGAGATGCCACCCAAGTCTCATAGCACCAGCCCCTCACTGACCCTCTGCAGGTGGTGAGTCCACAGGAGGACGGCTGCTCTCTGAGTGTGAGCATAGCCTTGATCTTTCAGCGGGGGATTTGGGCAAAGTGGGGTTAAGTGTCTTGCCCAAGGACACAACGGCAGCAGTCATCAGTGGGAGTCGGTGGAGAAGGTGTGGAGGTGGGAATTGAACCCACGACCTTCAGGCCTGAAGGCCAGTGCTCTACCAACTGAGCTACTGTCGCCCCGCTGAATGACCCGCCCATTTATAATAATATCACTCAGAATGCCACGGACACGTGTGTGTGTGTGATGGTGACAGCGGTAACGTGGTCATATAATACACACATATATATACACGCACAGGGGCCATTCTCTGATGTTGTGTGACACACGGAGGAGAGGAGGAGACACGCTGAAATGCAGCCAAACTCGCTAAATTAAAACTGGGGTACCTACATTTTCCCTTTCATTAACAGCTCTTGTTGGTTGTACCCAAAAGTAGAAGGTTGTGAGCAAGTCAAACAGATTTAAGTACATTTGGTATGAATAGCAATGTGTCATTACATTTGAAAATCTCATTTAAACTCAATTGGAGTGGATTTGAAATAGAATGTTAAAAATGTGATTAATCGTGAGTTAACTCACCATTACTATGCGATTAATCAACAACAAAAAACTAGAAACTTGCAATGGCTGAAGCCATTGCGATTGACTGCGGAACAGATCTAATGTGGAAATCTGCTAAAAAAAATCCTTGAAATCCTTTAAAAAGCCTTGAAACTGTTAAAATACTTGATAGATATTTGAAACTCCTGAAGTCCTTGAAATTGTTGAAACCTTTAAACTCCTGAAATCCTTGAAACTGTTGAAACATTGAAACTCCTGAAATCCTTGAAACTTTTTTAAACCTGGAAACTGTTGAAAGTGTGGAAACTCCTGAAATCCTTGAACCTCCTGATATCCTTGAAACTGGTTAAATTCTTAAACAGCTGAAATCCTTGAAACTACTGAATGTATTGAAAGTGTCCTTGAAACTGAAAAATCCCCTCACCGCTGAAACAATTTGGTTCCTGTAACTAAGGAAACCTGGTCTGTGGTCATTATCTGGTGGTGGTCTGAGTCTTCGTTTGGGTCTTGGTCTGGTGGTATAATGCAACCTATTAGGTTGCATTATACTGGTTTACATGTAAAAAACCCTATTAAGTTGCATTATACTGGTTTACATGAAAAAAACCCTATTAAGTTGCATTATACTGGTTTACATGGAAAAATCCCTATTAAGTTGCATTATACTGGTTTACATGGAAAAATCCCTATTAGGTTGCATTATACTGGTTTACATGTACAAATCCCTATTAAGTTGCTTTATACTGGTTTACATGTAAAAACCCCTATTAGGTTACATTATAGTGGTTTACATGTAAAAATCCTTATTAAGTTGCATTATACTGGTTTACATGTAAAAACCCCTATTAAGTTCCATTATACTGGTTTACATGTAAAAACCCCTATTAAGTTCCATTATACTGGTTTACATGTAAAAACCCTATTAAGTTGCATTATACTGGTTTACATGAAAAAAACCCTATTAAGTTGCATTATACTGGTTTACATGGAAAAATCCCTATTAAGTTGCATAATACTGGTTTACATGGAAAAATCCCCATTAAGTTGCATTATACTGGTTTACATGGAAAAATCCCTATTAAGTTGCATTATACTGGTGTACATGGAAAAATCCCTATTAAGTTGCATTATACTGGTTTACATGGAAAAATCCCTATTAAGTTGCATTATACTGGTTTACATGGAAAAATCCCTATTAAGTTGCATTATACTGGTTTACATGGAAAAATCCCTATTAAGTTGCATTGTACTGGTTTACATGGAAAAAACCCTATTAAGTTGCATTATACTGGTTTACATGGAAAAAACCCTATTAAGTTGCATTATACTGGTTTACATGTAAAAACCCCTATTAAGTTGCATTATACTGGTTTACATGGAAAAATCCCCATTAAGTTGCATTATACTGGTTTACATGAAAAAAAACCCTATTAAGTTGCATTATACTGGTTTACATGAAAAAACCCTATTAAGTTGCATTATACTGGTTTACATGGAAAAATCCCTATTAAGTTGCATTATACTGGTTTACATGGAAAAATCCCTATTAGGTTGCATGATTACACTGAAGTCCTTGAAACTGCTGAAGTCCTTGAAACTGCTGAAGTCCTTGAAACTGCTGAAGTCCTTGAAACTGTTGAAGTCCTTGAAACTCTTGAAATCTTGAAACTGCTGAAATCCTTGAAACTGTTGAATCCTTGAAACTGTTGAATCATTGAAACTGTAGAAATGTCTGAAAGAGCTGAAGTCCTATTAAAATGCATGGGCCTATTAAAATGCATTGCAGAATTCTCAATGCAGATTTTTGTCCGATTGCGGAAAAACCGGAAATCGCTGAAGTCCCAAAAGTAATAGCAATAATCTCCCAAACATGTGGAACGTTTTGATGTATAACTTGTGGAAATTGTTGAAAATGTGAAAGCTGTGAAACGTGTCAAAAAAAATGACGGAATAAAGAAATACAAAACCAATGGTTGACTGCGGAAGGTTCCGCAGTCAATCAATTAATCGTTTGACAGCCCTAACAAAAATACAATAGAATCACATTAACAGATTTGATTCACGTCAAGATGCAACGACTAGGACTCACACAATTATTCACACATCCATCCATTTTCTTCTAACCATACCCTAACTCTACTCTTAATCTACCCTACTGTAACTCGACCGTACCCTACTCTTAATCTACCCTACTGTAACTCGACCGTACCCTACTCTTAATCTACCCTACTGTAACTCGACCGTACCCTACCCTACTCTACTCTACTCTACTCTACTCTACTCTACTCTACTCTACTCTACTCTACTCTACTCTACTCTACTCTACTCTACTCTACTCTACTCTACTCTACTCTACTCTACTCTACTCTACTCTACTCAGTACCAGGTCCTTCTTTAGTCCCTCTTGGTCCTGGTACAAACGTGTTCTAACCGACAGTGAATTGCGGGAGTGCTGCTGAAAGTCATGGTTACCAAGGAATTTGCCAGTATTTCAGATAGATGGCTTGTTGTGAGTAGATTGCTACGTTTTAATTCCAGATACTGAAACATAATGGAAAAGTTACCAGGTAGAGTAGAATAGAGTAGAAAAGAGTAGAAAAGAGTAGAATAGAGTAGAATAGAGTAGAATAGAGTAGGATAGAGTAGGATAGAGTAGAATAGAGTAGGATAGAGTAGAATAGAGTAGAATAGAGTAGGATAGAGTAGAATAGAGTAGAATAGAGTAGAATAGAGTAGGATAGAGTAGGATAGAGTAGAATAGAGTAGGATAGAGTAGGATAGAGTAGAATAGAGTAGGATAGAGTAGGATAGAGTAGGATAGAGTAGAATAGCGACAACCTGCACCTATTGTTCAATATTAACACTATAACAGCCAAGACAACACTGATACTGACAAAGATATGATTTCAACTTAACAAAATATTTTGTAATTGTGGAATATTTGTAAGAAACACATCAAGAACCAACGTATTTACATGTTTACGCACAACCCATCCATCTGTGATGGATCCAAAACACTCACCAACGTACAGCATTTAAATAGAATATGGCATTATAGCAAGAGCTAAATATATGTATTTACAAAACATGGAGAAAATTGACAATATATAGATTTTTCCCCGTGACATGGTCGTTCATTAAATTAAATTTAGTTTAATTCAATTCAATAAGCACCATACTCGCGCGTAAGTGGGTCACATATTTGGTTCATTTACATGTTTGTGCAGAAAGAGCGTTTATTAGCGAGATAGAAACAAGTCGACGAAGAATGTTACTCAGTAGAGGTGGGCAAAATATATCGTAGACAATAATATCGTGTCAATAAGTCAATTTGAAGATATGCTTTTTTGTATTATCGTCCTTTTTCTTTTTACATACATATTACAATTAGAGAAGGACAGATGCCCATTTGGTCTAATGTGTGCCAATCACTGCTTTTTTGTACATTTCAGTAAATATTGGATGTGTTCTTTCTGTGTTACTTGAATTTGATTTTTTATGTTAATATATGTCTTGCAAAGAAGTGTGAAGCACATTACAAATAAAAAGCTTCTATTTAGATATACACTGTCTCTATCTATAGATGCCCTGGCAAGCAAAATATTACAGATAATGTTAAGTAAAAATTATTGATTTAAAAGATATCGTGACAATATCGTTATTGGGAGTAGGAAAAAAAATATCGAGATATCTATTTTTTTCCATATCGCCCATCCCGATTACTCAGTCGTGCGTGAAAAAAGAAAATAAGAACAAATAAACATAACCCCGAGCGTAATGGGTTCGAATCTTGGAAATATTCGCCAATGTTGGTGTCAGAAATAGCGCATGCGCGTGATAGCAGATGATGCTAGCTCAAAGCGCAGTTGTAGTGTGGTGAGGTATGGTCATAATAACGTGTTTAAAGCGTGTGTTTGTGCAGAGAAAAGGCAGGTATATATGTATGTGTGTGTGTTCTTACCGGGAAGACTCCTCCGAGAAGCCGCCGTCCAGCAGCCGGACTTTGCAGAAGAGAACCCCGTTGACGAATGGCACAGACGACAGATCCTCCAGCTCAAAGTCCACCTTGAATTTGAATTTCTTCTTTTTCATCATCATTAGATCCATGCAGTCAGATGTGGACTGGAGAACGCGAAGAGAACCGGGGGGACATGGCTTGTGTTGAGGAGAGACAATAGAGAGAAGCGAGAGAAGAGAGCTGAGAGAGGGGAGACCCAGAATGACAACAGATCGTGAAGGCAGCTGTAGAAAACTACAGGGAAACTTCCGGTTTTGGAAATTTCACAACAAAACTCTGTAGATCCAGGACTGAGGCTGTAGATCCAGGACTGAGGCTGTAGATCCAGGACTGAGGCTGTAGATCCAGGACTGAGGCTGTAGATTCAGGACTGAGGCTGTAGATCCAGAACTGAGGCTGTAGACCCAGGACCGAGGCTGTAGATTCAGGACTGAGGCTGTAGATTCAGGACTGAGGCTGTAGACCCAGGACCGAGGCCTCACAGTGATCTAGGGCTAGGGCTGAAGACCCAGGATTGGGGCTCTAGATTCAGGACTGAGGCTGTAGATCCAGGACTGAGGCTGTAGACCCAGGACCGAGGCCTCACAGTGATCTAGGGCTAGGGCTGAAGACCCAGGATTGGGGCTCTAGATCCAGGACTGAGGCTGAATATCTAGGACCGAGGTTGTGGATCCAGGATTGTGGTTGTGGATCCAGGACTGAAGCTATAGATCCAGGACTCGGGCTGTAGATCCAGGACTGAGGCTGTAGATCCAGGACTCAGGCTGTAGATCTAGGACTGAGGCTGTAGATCCAGGACTCAGGCTGTAGATCCAGGACTGAGGCTGTAGATCCAATTCGAAAGTATTTATTTCTGTGATAGAAAGATAGCCTTGACTTTTTCAACAAACCAAACCCCCAAATAAAGGTGTAACTTCACATTGCTGCATTATTTTGAAAAGACGCAGAGAATGTAGATTTGTGGCTGCGTTCGAAACTCTTTCCAAAACTGGTCCACTGGTCATGATTGTGAGTCTGCTTCCCTCTAGTGGCCAAAGCGGCACACTACACTCCAAACAGAAGTCACATATTTCAGACTAATGCTGCATTTTTTTAATAATTTCCCCACAATATTTCTTTAGACAACAACAAACAGACGAACCCAGCACCAATGCAAAAAACTGGTAAACATACTGAATACAGCTAAATGACTATCATTGGTGTATACATGCTTGAACTGTAGAAGAAAAACACAGTTACCAGGCAACAACAATTCTAGTTTAGACTTTTCTGATATAGAAATCTCTGGGTAAAACACACATATAGACGCAATTGAGAGCAGCTGTTTCCAGATTCCCGTGAGTATGAGTCATCCACCAGGCTGACCACAGAAGGGGCTGGCACCAAAGCACGAAGGAAGAAGAAAAACACATTCTCTCAAAGCAGAAAGTGCGTGATTTTATATTAAAGTTGCACAAATTCCCTGCGATCGACAGTTGGAGTGATTTGCGTTTAACACTTTGAAAGAGGAAAGTCTACAGTTGCAGTGTTGATCTTTAGAAGGGTGTGTCTACTACAGTATTTCTGCAGGATCGGAGCTGCACTCACAGACCTGCGGTCAGAGGTCCCGTCCATCTGTGGTTTCCATCCTCTTTTTTCGCTTTATCCATTGCTGCAAGGGCAGAAGTCTGAGACACCCAGACTATCCTCTCCACCAGCTCATCTGGGACAGTCCTGTGGCGTCCTGAGTCTCCTGTGTCCTGGGTCTTCCCCTGATCTCCTCCCAGTGGGACATGCCCAGAACACCTTCCCAGGGAGGCGTCCCGGAGGCATCTCTAGGGCCACCTCCACTGGCTCCTCTCCATGTGAGGGAGCAGCAGCTCTACTCTGAGCTCCTCACCATCATCTCTATGGACGCTCCACTCTGGAAGAAACTCACGTGGAGCTGTCTGTGATTTCTCTGTAGAAAAAAACTTGTTTAAATTAGTGCCAAACACATTATGAAACCACATATTGAATATTTTTAAGATCATTTTGGACAAAGTATTTTTTAACTCAAAATAATAATACAAATATTAATGACAAACGTCCTGTTTGTTTTATTGTGTACTTGCTGAAATTTGTATCTATATTTGATACTATATGATTGTATACTGGTCTCCCTCAGCTCTCTGGTCTCCCTTTCTGGTCTCTGGTCTCTCTCTCTGGTCTCCCTCTCTGGTCTCCCTCTCTGGTCTCCCTCTCTGGTCTCCCTCCCTGGTCTCCCTCCCTGGTCTCCCTCTTTGGTCTCCCTCTGTGGACCAGTATAATAATAATATCTTTAACAATAATAATACATGTATCACAGTACTTTGTATTTCATTTCTGCGCAGTGAGATTTGTTGTTTATGTGAAAACATTATTGTTTGTTGTTTATGTTTTGTGGTCCCCCTTTCAAACGAGATGCTTCATCTCAAGTGGCTTTCCAAGAATAAACTGAATTGAATTGAAGATTACACCTCAATACTGAGAGAGGTCTGAGCATGTGAGTATTTATGGAGAAGAGGTGGGACTAAACCGTTACATGTGTTCTATATTTTTTGTGTTTTAACTGTTGATTCTCTGATCTGTGTTAACGATTCACACAGTTTTGTTATGTCGACTCCTCTGAGATAGGGTTGTGATTTAGGGCTGTACAAGAAGGCCCATTTTAAACAGCCTTTACCCTGTAATATGAACTCCATAAAGTATTTTGTTTTGTATTAATTTAAGATTGATTTTGCTGCTTACCAGAAATATATGTTGACAGATGTTTATCCAATATTCAGTGTCAAAGGAGATATAGGTCTTGCTGCCATATGTATGGGTAATGATATTCTAAAACAAGCAAAGTTTATTTGTTTGTTGCATTGATATATGTCTATATTCATAATGCTTTTGTTGATTTTAGATATATTTATATATCCTTAATTGGGATTTGGGGCATAAATTCTCCATAATAATACATAATAAAATAACCAAAGACCTATAAATGACGGCACAATGATATGACCCCAGAAGCAAACTGCTTTGAGAGCGAGGACATTGTGACATGGATCTTAATACATATCTAGGTTTTTGTGGGTAGTTAGCCTATTTTGATTTAAGTCACGGCCCTGATAATAAGACGGCCCTGTCAGCGCGGCCTTGTAGACGCAGCTCCGTGTCTGCAGATCCATCTTACCCCAAAGTGAAGAAGGCGGTACTCGGCCCGAAGCGACCCAAGAGCCGTCTCCTCCCTCCTCATCCGCATTCACTACTTCTGCTCCACGACATTATTTTGTTCTAACAAATACTACAACAAACCACACATGAAGACGCGTGCACCACGGGAATCAACTTCAAAACAGCCTGAGCAGGAGAAAAACAGCCGGGATCGCTCGCTTTGCTTTTGCGCATTATCTGTGGACTCTGCTGCTGTGCGCTTGTGATTGTTTGCGTGTGGAATTATGTATCAGTCCGTGCGGAAGTTGTTTTTCACGGACTGTTATTGCGCCAAAGATGCATCTCGGAGTTATGAAGAACTGTTCAAGAAGCTGGACTCGAACCAGGACGGGAGAGTGGACGTATCCGAGCTCCGAGAGGGACTGGCCCAGATGGGCTTCCACACCGGGAGAGGGACTGCTCAGGTGAGAGAGCAGAGAGAGACCAGAGAGAGAGAGAGAAATGAGAGCGGTAGAGCAGAGAGAGAGAGAGGGAAAAAAGATAGAGAGAGAGAGAGAGCGAGAGACCAAAGATAAAGAGAGAGAGAGAGAGACCAAAGATTGAGAGGCCAGAGAGGGAGACCAGAGAGAGAGAGCAGACACCGGGATAGGGACTGCCCAGGTGAGAGAGAGTGGAGAGAGAGCAGAGAAAGAGCAGAAAGGGACCAAAGAGGGAGAGACCAGAGAGGAGAGGAGAGAGACCAGAGAGGGAGAGACCAGAGAGGGAGACCAGAGAGGGAGACCAGAGAGGAAGAGACCAGAGAGGAAGAGACCAGAGAGGGAGACCAGAGAGGAAGAGACCAGAGAGGAAGAGACCAGAGAGGGAGACCAGAGAGGGAGACCAGAGAGGGAGACAGAGAGGAAGAGACCAGAGAGGGAGACCAGAGAGGGACCAAAGAAGAGAGACCAGAGAGGGAGACCAGAGAGGGAGACCAGAGAGGGAGACCAGAGAGGGAGACCAGAGAGGGAGACCAGAGAGAGGGAGACCAGAGAGGAAGAGACCAGAGAGGGACACCAGAGAGGGAGACCAGAGAGGAGACCAGAGAGGAGACCAGAGAGGGACCAAAGAAAGAGAGACCAGAGAGGGAGACCAGAGAGGGAGAGACCAGAGAGGAAGAGACCAGAGAGGGAGAGACCAGAGAGGAAGAGACCAGAGAGGGAGACCAGAGAGGGAGACCAGAGAGGGAGAGACCAGAGAGGGAGAGACCAGAGAGGAAGAGACCAGAGAGGGAGACCAGAGGGAGACCAGCGAGGGAGACCAGGAGAGGGAGACCAGAGAGGAGACCAGAGAGGAAGAGACCAGAGAGGAAGAGACCAGAGAGGGAGACCAGAGAGGGAGACCAGAGAGGGAGACCAGAGAGGAGACCAGAGAGGGAGACCAGAGAGGGAGACCAGAGAGGGAGACCAGAGAGGGAGACCAGAGAGGAAGAGACCAGAGAGGGAGACAGAGAGGAGACCAGAGAGGAGACCAGAGAGGGAGACCAGAGAGGGAGACCAGAGAGGACCAAAGAAGAGAGACCAGAGAGGGAGACCAGAGAGGAGACCAGAGAGGAGACCAGAGGGAGACCAGAGAGGGAGACCAGAGAGGAAGAGACCAGAGAGGGAGACCAGAGAGGGAGACCAGAGAGGGAGACCAGAGAGGGAGACCAGAGAGGGAGACCAGAGAGGGAGACCAGAGAGGGAGACCAGAGGAGAGGACCAGAGAGGACACCAGAGAGGGAGACCAGAGAGGAGACCAGAGAGGGAGACCAGAGAGGGACCAAAGAAAGAGAGACCAGAGAGGGAGACCCAGAGAGGGAGACCAGAGAGGGAGACCAGAGAGGAAGAGACCGAGAGAGGGAGACCAGAGAGGGAGACCAGAGAGGGAGACCAGAGGGAGACCAGAGAGGGAGACCAGAGAGGGAGACCAAGAGGGAGACCAGAGAGGGACACCAGAGAGGAGAACAGAGAGGAGACCAGAGAGGGAGCCAGAGAGGGACCAAAGAAAGAGGAGACCAGAGAGGGAGACCAGAGAGGGAGACCAGAGAGGGAGAGACCAGAGAGGGAGACCAGAGAGGGAGACCAGAGAGGAAGAGACCAGAGAGGGACCTAAGAAAGAAAGACCAGAGAGGGAGACCAGAGAGGGAGACCAGAGAGGGAGACCAGAGAGGGAGACCAGAGAGGGAGACCAGAGAGGGAGACACAGAGAGGGAGACACAGAGAGGGAGACACAGAGAGGGAGACACAGAGAGGGAGACCAGAGAGGGAGACCAGAGAGGGAGACCAGAAAGGGAGACCAGAGAGGAGACCAGAGAGGGAGACCAGAGAGGGAGACCAGAGAGGGAGACCAGAAAGGGAGACCAGAAAGGGAGACCAGAGAGGGAGACCAGAGAGGGAGACCAGAGAGGGAGAGAGCAGAGAGAGAGAACAAAAGTAATATATAGCATCAGTGATATATTCTGGAAATCCTGGCCACAAACAGGTTGTGGGTTCAAATCCAGAGTTTGCATGTTCTCCCTGTGTCTGTGTGTTTTTCCTGATTGGCTGACTGTCACTGTGGTCTTCTCTCGGAAAAATGTGATCAAAGCATGAAAACAATCGAGTGATAGAAGCAGACAACTAGTTAAATCAAAGACGGCCTCTTCCATAGGCCTTTTTTATCTAGAATTTAATTTGATAATTGAAGTTTGTGTGTGATTTCTCTCTCTGGTGAAAGTCGAGGAATCTTAGAAATGTCCCACTGGTTTAAACATGTTTGTACTTTACTTTAGACTGTATGTGGATGCCATGTTGTCCTGAAACAACCTCTGATTTCACATAAATCTCCGACTTTGACGATTGAAAGTAGACAGGAAGTGGTGACTGACCTACGTTTCCTTGACCACAGCTGCACTAGAAGAGTATGCAAAACAACAACAACACTGCCTCCATTCAATATAAATGTTTTACAGTTATATAGAGACGTCGAGGAGGAAGCGGGTATCATATCTGCTAATACTGCTACTACTACTTCTACTACTACTACTACTGCTGCTGCTGTTACTACTACTACTACTACTACTTCTGCTGCTGCTGTTACTACTATTACTACTACTACTGCTGTTACTACTACTACTACTGCTGCTGCTGTTACCACTACTACTACTGCTGCTTCTGTTACTACTATTACTACTACTACTGCTGTTACTACTACTACTACTGCTTCTGTTACTACTACTACTACTGCTGTTACTACTACTACTACTGCTTCTGTTACTACTACTACTGCTGCTGTTACTGCTACTACTACTGCTGCTGTTACTGCTACTACTACTGCTGCTTCTGTTACTACTACTACTACTACTACTATTACTACTACTACTGCTGTTACTACTACTACTGCTGCTTCTGTTACTACTACTACTACTACTGCTGCTGTTACTACTACTACTACTACTACTAATTATACTACTATTAAGTAAGTAAGTAAGTAATCTTTATTTGTATACCGCCTTTTCACTGCAGATCTGAGTCTCAAAGCGGTTTACATTTGTCTCTCACTCCACACAGAGATGGGAGCGGGGTCGCCAGTACAGGAGGCGCATGTCAGACCTATTGTACATATTTTTAGTGGTAGGGGAAACCGGAGTACCCGGAGGAAACCTACGCAGACACGTGGAGAACATGCAAACTCCACTCCCTGGTCCGACTGGGATTCGAACCCAGGACCTTCTTGCTGTTGCTATTACTACTACTGCTTCTGTTATTACTACTACTACTACTGCTGTTACTACTACTACTTCTGCTGTTACTACTAGTACTGCTCCTGCTGTTACTACTACTACTACTGCTTCTGTTACTACTACTACTGCTGCTGTTACTACTACTACTACTTCTGCTGTTACTACTAGTACTGCTCCTGCTGTTACTAATACTACTGCTTCTGTTACTACTACTACTACTGCTTCTGTTACTACTACTACTGCTCCTGCTGTTACTACTACTACTACTGCTGTTACTGTCAGCAGGAATCATAATAGTAGTAGTTGTATTATAGTATCCACTTCAAAGACACTAGCAGGATAGCCCTCAGGGAAGCCCCGCCCCCTGCAGCTATGTGTCACTGCTGCACCTGCACCGTCCACATCGTAAAGACAGGATTATTAGGGCTGTAAATAATGATTAGTTTAGAGTCAATTAGTAATTCAGGAGGCTGGATCTACAGCCTCAGGCCTGGATCTACAGCCTCAGGCCTGGATCTACAGCCTCAGGCCTGGATCTACAGCCTCAGGCCTGGATCTACAGCCTCAGGCCTGGATCTACAGCCTCAGGCCTGGATCTACAACCTCAGTCCTGGATCTACAGCCTCAGGCCTGGATCTACAGTCTCAGGCCTGGATCTACAGCCTCAGGCCTGGATCTACAGTCTCAGGCCTGGATCTACAGAGGCTAGAGAGTGTGTGACAGACCAGAGTGTGTGAGAGAGAGCGCTGTCAGAGAGAGCCCAGAGAGAGAGAGCAGAGAGAGAGCAGTCAGAAAGACCAGAGAGAGAAAGAGAGAGAGAGCAGAGAGAGAGACCAGTCAGAGAGACTGTAGATCCTGTAAAGTAGGGTTTTTTGTTGTAAATGAAATTCTTTATTGAACATGTTTCAAAGTCCAGTCTGCTCTGGTCGCACCTCTGCAGCATTTACATATTTGAGGCTGATAACAGACTGTGGCTTTTTGCTCTGTCGTTACGAGATAAAATTTGACACACTGCTCCACTCTGCCCTCTGCTGGTCAAACGCGGATAGTGAGGCTTCAAATCATAATGCAAAAATAACGCAGGGTTCAGTTAAACAGAAATTTTACAAATAATAAAAAATACCATGTTTCTTAATGTAATGCACAATGGAGGAGTGGTTAGCACTTTCTGGTCCTGGTTTCGAAATCCTTGTCAGAACTAGTTCTTAGTGGAGTTTGTGTGTTCTTCCTGTGTCTGGGTAGTTTCCTCAATTAAATTAAATGTAAGACTGAGGTTGTCTCTTTCTCTGGTCTTTCTGCTCTGTCTCTTTCTGGTCTCTCTCTCTGGTCTCTCTGCTCTCTCTCTCTGGTTTCTCTTTGCTCTCTTTCTCTGCTCTCTCTGGTCTCTCTGGTTTCTCTGGTCTCTCTCTCTGGTTTCTCTCTGCTCTCTTTCTCTGCTCTATCTGCTCTCTCTCTGGTCTCTCTCTCTCTGCTCTCTCTGGTCTCTCTCTCTGCTCTCTCTCTGCTCTCTTTGGTCTCTCTGTCTAGTTTCTCTCTGGTCTCTCTCTCTCTGCTCTCTCTGGTCTCTCTCTCCTCTCTCTGGTCTCTCTCTGGTCTCTCTCTCTGCTCTCTCTGGTCTCTCTCTCTCTGGTTTCTCTCTGCTCTCTCTGGTCTCTCCCTCTAGTTTATCTCTGGTCTCTCAAACAACACATTTACGATAAGGAGGTATTACTTTACATTCAAATCCATAACCGGCTTGTTTTTGTTGTGTGTGTAGAAGATCGTTTCGTCTGGAGACAAGGACAAGGACCAGGGTCTGGACTTTGAGGAGTTCTCAAAATATCTGAAAGAACATGAGAAGAAGCTGCGGCTGACCTTCCGGAGTCTGGACAAGAACAAAGATGGTGTGATGTCACTCTTTAAAGGGGTCATGACCTAAAAAAATGACTTTTCTCAACTTTTAGTAGTTTCCCTCTGTTATTTACACAAAAATGCTGTTTTATTAGCATAATCCATACATGCTTGAAATTATAGCAATGCATTTTCTCTCTGATTGCGCTCTGGTCTCGCTCTGGTCTCTGGTCTCCCTCTCTGGTATCTCTCTGGTCTCTTTCTTTGGTCTCTCTGTGGCCTCGCGCTGGTCTCTCGCTCTCTCTCTGGTGTCTCTCTCTCTCTAGTCTCTTTCTCGTCTCTTTCTATGGTCTCTCTCTGGTCTCTTTCTCGTCTCTTTCTATGGACTCTCTCTGGTCTCTATCTCCTCTCTTTCTGTGGTCTCTCTCTGATCTTTCTCTTTAGCCATTATCAATAAAATAATGATTTGTTCAAAATAAAGGTTTAAATAAAACAATAGCCACAGATGCTAAAAAAACGGCTATAAACAGACACAAAGAAAACACTGGATATTTAGGCTCCATGTTTCATTTTTCTCCTTTAAATATTTCTTTTCATCAATAAAATAGTTATATAACTACGTAAAATTCACAGAATATGTTTTGCCAAATTTAATTAAATAGTAACACATGAAATTAAGTTTAGAGTTTGTCCTCCCACAATATGATGATTTCCCGTTGTGGTCTCCCTGGTTTACATATTTTTATACCTGATTCGCCATTGCTCTCCCCTCAGTCCTCTGACTCCAGCCTCTATCTTTTAGCCTCGGGTTTCACAGACCTTCCTCACCCATCTTTCCTTTCCAATCCTGTGGTATGTGGAGAATTCACGCATTTTTGCTCGAAGGAAAAAGGCAAAGATAATTTTGTCGACAGAGCAGCGGCACACATACATTTGAGTACATTTCCCTGAAGCTAAAAAAGAGGCGGAGCTCTGTGGCGCAAGAGCAGACCTGGGCAAAGTGCGGCCCGGGGGCTGCATCCGGCCCGAGTCCCATTTCTACATGGCCCCAGGACACTTCCTCGTCGTTAAACTCAAACCGAAGTCAAAACTCAGGGAAGGCTTGTGACTTAACATGTGCTACCATGACATGTTAATAAATGAACCCAACTCTGTCTGACGATTCTGGTCAGTCTGTAACCAATCCATTGGGCTGTGATTATGGGGCGTTGTCCAGGATAAACAATACCTTTTTGTTCTCTAGAAGGGATGTCCAACCGATTCCAGAAAGGGCTGCTGGGTTTTAGACCCAACCTGAGTAGGAGCACATCAGACTCCACCCATTTCCTCAAATCTTTGGGTTAAAACTCAAAATCACAGCAGTAGTTCTCTCAGAATCAGATCATAGAGTAATTACATATTTGTTTGATTTTTTTTAAACGCACTGGACTCGTTAGTAGAATTTAAAATGTGTATGCATAAGTCATCTATTCTGTTTTATTTATTGTAGCTTGCAGGCTACGAAATTGTTTCTGAAGTTGTAAGCCATAGAGGTGACTCATTCACAATTTATCTGGTGGGTGGCTATACTAGTTCGCAACCGTCGTTAAGCAACCAAAGAAGAAGAAGAAGTTCTCTCAGAGGACTTTGCGAAGCTGTCGTTGGTTTCGCCAACACAGTTCATAGATTCAAACAGTTCAAATACAAGAAATTCAATGATTACAAAACACACAGAGCCATTGGAGCTATGTGACTGGTTTCTGGTATAACATTGTTTTAGCTCAATCTAACATTTCATATGAACCATACGTTTAATAAAGAGCCACACAGGTCAGTGATTATCTTAGTATGTCTCTAGTTATTGTTGTGGAGCTCTGTTTCACTGCGTTTCTTCAGAATATCCCTAATGTTGTGTGTGTGTTTGTTGCTCAGGTCGGATCGATGTGATGGAGATAAAGCAGTCGTTGGCAGATCTGGGTTTGGACGTCAGCAAAGAGGAGGCAGCCAAGATTCTGCAGAGGTGAGAGTTTGTGGAGGACTGTAGCTTTGGTCTCTGCTCTTTCACTAAAAAACAAAACTAGGGTTTGCTTTATAACCTTATGGTCCTGAGCCACATGTTAGCAATAGGCTATACAACAGTTTGGTTTTATTGTCGTCTAAATATCTGTTATGTTTGGGAGTAGGGTTAGAAAGGGGTTAGCAGCAGAAGGCCGTTCTATGCCGCTTGCGGCTTTAATTTATTTCTTGCTATATGGTTGGGATGGTCAACTTTGTTTCCCCACATGAGGTGTTATTTGTCTAATTAGAAAATGTTCTATCTTTTGTGTAAGAAAGAGCCCTGTGAGACACTATTTGACTCTTTGGGTTGAGTGCTGATTGGGCGAGGGTCTACAGCCTCAGTCCTGGATCTACAGCCTCAGTCCTGGATCTACAGCATCAGTCCTGGATCTACAGCCTCAGTCCTAGATCTACAGCCTCAGTCCTAGATCTACAGCCTCAGTTCTGGATCTACAGCCTCAGTCCTAGATCTACAGCCTCAGTTCTGGATCTACAGCCTCAGTCCTGGATCTACAGCCTCAGTCCTGGATCTACAGCCCCAGTCCTGGATCTACAGCCTCAGTCCTGGATCTACAGCCTCAGTCCTGGATCTACAGCATCAGTCCTGGATCTACAGCCTCAGTCCTAGATCTACAGCCTCAGTTCTGGATCTACAGCCTCAGTCCTGGATCTACAGCCTCAGTCCTGGATCTACAGCATCAGTCCTGGATCTACAGCCTCAGTTCTGGATCTACAGCCTCAGTCCTAGATCTACAGCCTCAGTTCTGGATCTACAGCCTCAGTTCTGGATCTACAGCCTCAGTCCTAGATCTACAGCCTCAGTCCTGGATCTACAGCCTCAGTCCTGGATCTACAGCCTCAGTTCTGGATCTACAGCCTCAGTCCTAGATCTACAGCCTCAGTTCTGGATCTACAGCCTCAGTTCTGGATCTACAGCCTCAGTCCTAGATCTACAGCCTCAGTCCTGGATCTACAGCCTCAGTCCTGGATCTACAGCCTCAGTCTTGAGGCTTCTGCACATTTCCTGCTCCTAAAAAGCCAGTGTTCTTGTTTGTGCCTCTGTGGTTTCGTTATGACAAATTTTTCTTCTTCTTCTTCTTCTTGCAGCATCGACGTGGACGGCACCATGACCGTGGACTGGTCCGAGTGGAGAGAGCACTTCCTGTTTAACACGGCCTCAAACCTACAGGAGATCATCCGCTACTGGAAGCACTCCACGGTGAGAGACGAGACCTCTGACCTCTCTGTGAAACTAAGACATAACATCAGGACTTCAGCTGTCTGTGATGAAGAGAACTGAAACTATAAACTTTCCAATTCAATGTATTTGTGTAGTGCTCAGAGGACTTTACAATGTTGTGGATTTGCCAACAACAGATCAGAGAATCAAACAATTAAAACACAGCAAATGCTAAAATTACAAATGCATAGGAGTCATTGGTCTATAAGGAGCAGGATAAACACTGGACTGAGGATAATAACTAAAGAAATGGTTATTATCAAACCAAACTTGCACTCGTGTGTGTGTGTGTGTGTGTGTGTGCGTGTGTGTGTGTGTGAGTGTGTTTGACCAGTATATACAGTATGAGCGATATAAATGTGAGGTTTTAACAAATTGTGCACGTGAAAACCGAACATCCATAAATGTCTGTTATTTTTTATGTATTATCATAACATCAGCCTGCCCAAGGACTACGGATGCGGAAATTAGCTTTTGAGCTATAACATGGTACAATACATCTTTCCATTTGAGGTTAATGTTTATTGTACACTGTCCCTGTCATCTTAAATAAATAAACTAAACTAAACTATAGATCCAGGACTAAGGCTGTAGATCCAGGCTTTCCTTTAACTTATATCTAAACATTGTTAGTAATGGTGTAGATTACTGAGACTCTTAAGGCCAAAGCTGCTGATAACAGCCCAGCACTGAATGAGCTAATGTGGCGCCACCTGCTGGTAAAAGCCAGACTATGTCTGAAGCTAAGCAGGGAAGGGCCTGGTTAGTACTAGCCTGGCCATAGCTATCCGCACACTCCGCTCAATCATCATTTTCACTGCATGTAACGTCTGGGTCTGGTCCCTGCATTAGCGAATGCAATCGGTCGTATTTCGACCGGCTACTCAGAGAGAGCGGAAGGCGGGTGTTGTAGGTCGGTGCCGGTGACGTCAAGAGTTTGCGCCGAACGGGCAGGTTGTAGTTTGGCAATGGCGAAGAATGCGATAGTAAAGTAATCCGGTCTGGTTCTATCAAGAAATTGAAGCCGGAACAAGAGGAATGTTTCGCAAATGTAATCGCTCGTCAAGATTGTGGCGCTACTCCCCACGGGCTCCGTTAGCAACAAAGGAGATGGCTAGGCTAAATGCTAACAACACACTCGGGCTCATTACATACGTCACGGTAAACTCAGATCCAATCGTTTCAATCTGCAAAAGGAGTTAACCCCTCCCACCTGTTCACAGAGCTCAATGGAGCAAATCCAGACCTTAGTATGAAATGAAATTTGTACTAAGGTGATGTACAACCAGGCTAGGTTAGTACTAGAATGGGAGACCTCAGGAGACGCGAGGTGACACAGTGGGATGGCTTTGGCTGTAAAGTGCTGTGTCCTTAGGCTAGACACACCCACACTAGAATGAGTCTGGTGTTTGAGAATGGTTGGTGGTGGTGGGAGGGGCCAATGGCATAGACTGGTTGCCTCGCTTCTCTCAGTGTGCCCCAGGGCAGCTGTAGCTACAGTAGTAGTGTTTTCACCACTGTGTATGGAGTAATAAAATAATGACATAAATGTGAAGCCTTTGAGAGTCTGAGAGAGCTGTAGAAAACCAATATCATTTTGATTATTATTAATATTTGTAGGGCCTTCTGATCTTTGTACAAATGAACTTGCCTTCTATGAGGGTGAAGTGTAGGTCGCCGCTCTCTGGTGAAAGTCTTTGCCGTGACTTTCTTCACCTTGTGCCCAGTGGCTTTAATCCCTGACGTCTGAGAGCTAACTGAGATAAGCTAATTACAGACGCTGCTTCTCCTGGGATTAACTGAGGCCACACACCAAGGACTGGGACAGGACTGGGACTGTCTCTCGGTCTCACAGCCACTCTGCAAGGACTGGGACTGCTTCTACATCTCCCACAGTCACCCATTCTCAAATCTATGGCAGTTTCAAGGAATATATTTGGAGTCTTTTCCACGTTTTGGACAAAACGCACTGTCTTCATGGCGGGTCAGCTGTTGAGGATTGTGTGAGGCAGAGCTGAGGTTCTGTGAGTAGATCGCACTGGGGGTCGAGGACACACAGAAGCTGAGGATGTGAAGATGGCTGAACCGCAGCAGCTCAGAGCTCACAGCATGTGGCTTTTCCTGGAGTTCGAGGAGGACGGACCTCTGAACGAGACGGACGTTGAGATGGTGGGTGCTTTAAGAGCTGGGTAAACTGTAGGCAGAGGACAAACTGTGGGCTGAGGGCCACATGCGGTCCAAGGCACACTTCTATGAGGCCTCAGACCCTTCCCTGTCTCAGTACTGCAGTAGTATGATGTCATTATCACACCAGAGTGAGAGAGAGCAGAGTAAGAGAGACCAGAGAATGAGACCAGAGAGCGAGACCAGAGAGCGAGACCAGAGAGCGAGACCAGAGAGCGAGACCAGAGAGCGAGACCAGAGAGCGAGACCAGAGAGCGAGACCAGAGAGCGAGACCAGAGAGCGAGACCAGAGAGCGAGACCAGAGAGCGAGACCAGAGAGCGAGACCAGAGAGCGAGACCAGAGAGCGAGACCAGAGAGCGAGACCAGAGAGCGAGACCAGAGAGCGAGACCAGAGAGCGAGACCAGAGAGCGAGACCAGAGAGCGAGACCAGAGAGCGAGACCAGAGAGCGAGACCAGAGAGCGAGACCAGAGAGCGAGGTTTTGGATTGAATCAGGGTAAATTGGGTAGAAAACATTTCATGAATATGAAATGTTTGGCCCAGACGCAAAGTAATTGATAGAAAAAGTAAAAACAAAGGGAGTTTGTACCAAATGTATAACAACCAGAAGAAGAAAAACTTTAATCCATTAGTGAATGAGGAGTCACAGTGATAACAAACTCAAAACAAAATATTGGAGTTGGATGGAGATAAGCAAGTGTCGGTTTCTACGGTAACAAACGTTTGGATTTGAGTAGATTAAAAGCACGGATGCTCATCACGGTTTATGCTGCGGAGGTGAGACCAGGCTTTTATGTTTGTGAAATCGACCAGAGGATACACACTCGAGCTTTAAAAACCCCAGACCTCGAGAAGAAACGTCCATTCATTCATGTATGTCCTTCCGCTTGATCCATTGCCGAGTCGCAGTGGCAGCAGTCTGAGCAGAGACGTCCAGACTTCTCTCACAAAGGTGACATCACGCTAACCATATCATTCATCTACTGTATATATGAATATATGGATCGGAGGCAAAGACCAGATTACTAAGTATTGAATGAAATGTGCTTTTTGTTTTTGTGGAAGTTTGTCTGTTGTCAGTATCTGTCCCTTCTCAAATAGAGAGAGAGACTAGAAAGAGAGAAACCAGAGAGGGGGACTAGAGACAGAGAGTTGAGAAAGAGAGATGGGAAAGATGGACCAGAGAGAGAGACCAGAGAGGGGGACTAGAAAGAGAGGGACCAGAGAGAGGGACTAGAGAGAGGGACCAGAGAGAGAGGGACCAGGGAGCGAGGGACCACAGAGAGACGGACCAGAGAGAGAGGGACCAGGGAGCGAGGGACCAGGGAGCAAGGGACCGGAGAGAGGGACCAGAGAGAGAGGGACCAGGGAGCAAGGGACCAGAGAGAGGGACCAGAGAGAGACCAGAGAAAGAGACCAAAGATAGAATAGAGAGAGAGACAAAGGAGATACCAGAGAGAGATTGTATATTTTTCCCAAACTGCAGCCTAAGTGGCATTTGCCGTGTGTCTGAGTGTGTATGATTATGTCCTCTCTGTCCCTGACCTCTGGTGTGTGTCCTCTGGTGTGTGACCTCTGGTGTGTGACCTCTGGTGTGTGACCTCTGCAGGTGCTGGACATCGGGGACAGTCTGACGATCCCAGACGAGTTCACGGAGGAGGAGAAGACGTCTGGACTGTGGTGGAAGCAGCTGTCGGCCGGAGCCATGGCAGGAGCTGTGTCCAGGACCGGGACCGCCCCCCTGGACCGGATGAAGGTCTTCATGCAGGTGAGAGACACTCCAGGTGCTACGGGTCTTCACCGTCATGCAGGTCAGACACACTCCAGCCTCTGTAGTATTTGGATCTGGATCTGCCCTCTATGGCGAGTATGACCTGAGGACTACCTTCAATCCAGTAGTGTTCTTTAACTTATTGGGTTTGGATAATGACCTTTTCACAGCTCAGATATTTTTGTTTCATTTGATTTGATTCATTAGAACTAATTGTTAAATTGTGTTTGGAGAAGAGTCAGATCAAAAATATAATATATTTTTTAATCAAAATTGTCGCGGGGCAGCAGTGCATTTATTATGGGGGCTAAAAACGTTACCCTAAACTCTATCCTACCCTAACCTACTCTACTCTACCCTACCCTACCCTACCATACTCTAGTCTACTCTACCCTACCCTACCCTACTCTACTCTACTCTACTCTACCCTACCCTACCCTACCCTACTCTCTACTCTACTCTACTCTACTCTACTCTACCCTACCCTACCCTACCCTACCCTACCCTACCCTACCCTACCCTCTACTCTACTCTACTCTACTCTACTCTACTCTACTCTACTCTACTCTACTCTACTCTACTCTACTCTACTCTACTCTCGCCTAAATGGGAGTGTTTCATCTGGTCCTGTGTAACCAGTACCAGGTCCTTCTTTTGTCCCTCTTGGTGCTGTATCAAATTTAAAAATAAATAATAAATAAAAAGTAGTAGAGGAGAACTTACAACCCTGTCCTTCTCCAGGTTCACGCCTCCAAAAGCAACAAGATCAGTCTGAGCGGAGGATTCAAGCAGATGCTGAAGGAGGGAGGAGTCTTGTCTCTGTGGCGAGGGAACGGCATCAACGTCCTCAAGATTGCGCCAGAGACTGCCATCAAGTTCATGGCCTACGAGCAGGTCTGTGATGTCACATGAACCATAGAGAACCACACAGTCGCAGGTCTGACTCCCACACAGAGGCAGGTTTGAGTCCCATAACTGAACCACAGAGCGACATCAAACTTACTTAAACCATGCAGAGACAAAGTTTTGAGTGCGGTCCCTTTCTGGTCCCGCTTAGAGAATCATTGAGATCTCTTCTAAACTTTTCATGGAAGCCCCCGAATCGTGGTTGAGGTACGCAGGAGAGATTTGTCGCTCCAGAGCCAAAGGGAACCGATTCCCTACGGGGATAACTCCCTTCTGTTCTGACCCTCTGTCACAGTGAGGTGCTACAGTATCTTTCACACCAACATCCTGCCTGGCTCCAGTCGCTCTGCTCGTACGCCACACTTTTCATTCTCATTCATTTATTTACAAGACACGCTCTCGCTGTAGTTAGTATTAGCGCCACAAGCTGGATCGAGCGTTATACTACACCGCTTTTGGTCTGGCACGGTTGAAAAAAATAGACCGTGCCCTGAATAAGACTGGTACACAACACATCATCATGTTGCCTCTCTAACTCCTCAGTACAAGAAGCTTCTCTCCAGTGAACCGGGCAAAGTCAAGACCCACGAGAGGTTCATGGCCGGCTCTCTGGCTGGAGCCACGGCACAAACGGCCATTTATCCCATGGAGGTGAGACCGGGACCATATGGCACCAGCACCAGGGCTTCCAGACCTTTTCCTTTCTGGTCTCTCTCTGGTTTCTCTCTCTGCTCTCTCTGGTCTCTCTCTGGTCTCTCTCTGGATTCTCTCTCTGGTCTCTCTCTCTGGTCTCTCTCTGGTCTCTCTCTGGATTCTCTCTCTGGTCTCTCTCTGGTCTGTCTCTCTGGTCTCTTTCTAGTCTCTCTCTCTCTGGTCTCTCTCTCTGGTCTCTGGTCTCTTTCTTGTCTCTCTCTTTGGTCTCTTATCCCATAGACTGTTGAGACCACATCACTGTGTCTTCGTCCTCTTCATCTCTCGACTTCATCTTTTGTCTCTGATTGTGTTTTTGAGGTGATGAAAACACGCCTGACCCTGAGGAAGACGGGTCAGTACTCTGGGATGATGGACTGTGCCAAGAAGATCCTGAAAAAAGAAGGCGTCAAAGCGTTCTACAAAGGCTACATCCCCAACATCCTGGGCATCATCCCCTATGCCGGCATCGACCTGGCCATCTACGAGGTCTGGACTCTCACACTCCCGGGTCTGCTGCAGTGGGAACAGTGGGAACTATATGTGTGTTATGCAATGGCAGGATCAGAAATCACAAAATTGCTGTCATGTTTTAGAATGTGTAAAACAAACTTGAGTAGAAAATTCATAGTGAAACAAGTTTGAAGGTTAATAAATATTGCTTTGTGCTTGTAGCTCCCTCTGCTGCCACTAGAGGGAGCAGCAAACACAGACATGCCACTGTAATTAACGTCAAAACTAATTTATGGGGCAAATTTAAAAGGTAGAAAAGTGTCATAGTAGTTAATCTCTCTCTTTTTCTCTCCCTTGTCTCTCTCTCTGGTCTCTCTCTCTCACTGTCCTGCTATCTTACCTTAACTTAATACACTGGGTCCAGACCAGTGGGGGCGTGTCCCGGCTCAAAAGTGGCCAAAATGACGTGCGCTGACATGCTTGCAATACCACCCCGGGGCTGATGGGGGTGGACCCAGAAGAAGAATGAAAACGTCTTTAAACACACACACATGGGATGATGGCGCCAGCAGTGTGCATGGCGCACCGTCTCTCTGCTCTGCTTGGCCTGTTTTTAATTGTTTTATTGTTGGATTGGTGCCAAAATGCCACAGCTCTGTTTGTTTATGATCGCCATACACTTTTAAACATTCGGAAATATTATGAGGTACTGACTAAACACAGTTTGGACCAGCATGGCTCAGCACACATTCCTCCCCCTCTGCGCTGGGCCATCCCGGAGGAGCTGCGCAGGCTGCCCCGTGCCATCCCGAAGAGGAAACGCCCTAGGAAAAGGCGCAAGCGAGGCGGCGTCCTTGTCCGAGTAAGAGCTCACCTGAAGTCTCGGAGAACTACAGCTCTAGTTGAGAAAGCGAGATGGATTACGCCCGTGCCAGCAGTGGATGGATGCAGTGCAGCTGGTGACCCGGTCTGCCCGGCTCTTTGGTACCGTTCCAGGCGGAGAGTAGCCAAGCGCGGCATGGACTGGGGGAACATCCGCAAACTCGCCCGAGCTCAGGCCCCACGCCCTGGGCACACTGCACTCCGCATGGCGCTGCTGAACACCCGGTCCATCTCAAACAAAACTTTTCTGCTTAATGACTTCTTTGTCACGAGCAACCTGGATTATTTTTTCCTCGTGGAGACGTGGATTCAAGCGGGTGAGTGCTCAGCCTTCTCTGAACTTCTTCCTCCTGGCTGTTCATATTTAAATTCACCGCGCACCACTGGAAGAGGTGGAGGACTTGCATCAGTTTTTAAATCTGATTTTATCTGCTGTCTATTTCCCTCCAATGTGTTCTCCAGTTTCGAACTACAACTTTTAAAAATCCAGACGAACCCACTGACACTTTGCGCAATAATCTACCGCCCTCCAAAATTTAATAAGAGTTTTATTCAGGAATTCTCAGATTTCCTGGCGGAGATAGTCACTCACACAGACCAGCTTTTAATCGTGGGTGATTTTAATATTCACGTTTGCTGCGGCGACACCAAGCCACTTGTGAAGGATTTTTTAAATACTATTGACTCTTTTAACCTCACGCAATGGGTTTGTGGTCCCACGCATGAAAAAGGACATTCACTTGATCTTGTCCTTTCTCTGGGAATTGAAGTGAACATTGAGCGCATCTGTGATATGCATATTTCGGACCATCTCCCCGTTATTTTTAACATAAGTCTGCCGGGTGCCAAAGACTGCAGTGTTATCCCCGTGCGCACACGACGCGTGTTCACGCCACTGTCAGTGGATGATTTCTCTGCAGCGTTTCTGTCGTCTGTACCTTCCCCGCTCACTGCTCCGTCCAGTACAGTGAATGCAGAGGAGCTTACAGAGGCATTTAACTCGACCTGTGCAGTTATTCTGGACAAAGTTGCGCCTTTGGTGTCTAAGCGCCAAAAACCTGCGTCAGAGCCTTGGCTCAACGAGGACACGCGTGCGCTCAGACGCCAGTGCAGGCGCGCGGAGCGTAAATGGGATAAGGACAAGTTGCACGTATCCCTTGGAATATACAGAGACTGTTTTACCAAGTATCAGCGAGCTGTAAAGACTGCAAAAGCTCAGTATATGTCCAATTTTATCTCTACGAACAGCCAGAGACCACAGATTCTTTTTAATGTTTTAAATGGTTTGGTTAACCCTGTGCCCTCCTCTGGTCTTGTCCCATCTGAACCTTTGTGCAATGATTTCCTGTCATTTTTTGTAAACAAAATATTGCACATTAGGATTTCACCTGTTTTCTCAAGTGTCTCTGAGCCCATTGTGAACACTGTGTCTGATGTCTTTGATGAGTTCACGCCTGTATCTTTCACTGAGTTGTCCAGAGTTGTCCAGCATCTTAAACCGTCCAATTGTCCACTGGATATTGTTCCTGCACATTTTTTAAAAAGTGTTTTTGGTGTTGTTGGGCCTTACGTCACGCATGTTATCAATGCGTCCCTTTTATCTGGCTGTGTTCCGGGTGTTTTTAAGCAAGCTGTAGTTCAGCCACTTCTTAAGAAGCCCACCTTGGACAACACTGTTCTTGCTAATTACAGGCCTATTTCGAAGCTGCCTTTTTTAGCCAAAGTATTGGAGAAAACAGTTCTTAATCAATTCCAACAGCATCTGGACACAAATGGCATCTTTGACACGTTTCAATCAGGTTTTAAAGCTCTACATAGCACAGAGACTGCACTGTTCAGAGTTTTTAATGATCTGCTTTTAACAGCTGACTCTGGTTCTCCTGCCATTTTAGTTCTTTTAGATCTGACAGCTGCTTTTGACACTGTAGATCATAGCATTTTAATTTCGCGTTTGGAGCACTACGCTGGTTTTAAAGGCACCGCATTAAACTGGTTCAGGTCCTATCTTGGTAACAGGTGTTTTTCTGTCTACTTTGGGCCCTACAAGTCTGGCCTGGCACCCCTTAATTGTGGCGTTCCACAGGGCTCCATTTTAGGCCCCGCCCTTTTTTCTTTCTATATGCTGCCACTTGGAGATATTCTAAAGAAACACAATGTCTCCTTTCATGCGTATGCTGATGACCTGCAGATCTACCTGCCTTTAAATCCCATCTCAGTGTCAATTGCAACACTGCTAGATTGTCTCCAGGAAGTGAGATCATGGCTGGCCCAACATTTTTTAATTCTCAACGAGAATAAAACTGAAATTGTTGTTTTTAGCTCCAGCCTCTCTGTGGAGCTCACTGATGCACTTGGTGCACTCTCTGCTCATGTCCATTCCTCTGCCAGAAACTTAGGAGTTATTTTTGATAGCACCTTTAGGATGGACAAGCAAATTAATTCAGTAATCAAAGCCAGCTTTTATCAGCTCCGGGTCTTGAGCAAAGTGAAGGCTTACATCCCACCGACTGACTTTGAGCGAGTTATCCACCTTTTTATTTCTTCAAGATTAGATTATTGTAACTCGTTGTATTGTGGTCTGGACCTTGGCTCTTTAAAGCGCCTTCAGCAGGTGCAGAATGCTGCTGCTCGCTTACTCACAGGGACACGTAAGAGAGAGCACATCACCCCCGTGCTGGCCTCACTTCACTGGCTCCCTGTTACTTTCAGGGTTGATTTTAAGATTCTGATGCTTGTTTTTAAATGTTTGAATGGTTTGGCCCCTGTAGATCTGTCGGAGCTGTTATCTTTGTATGCTCCGGTCAGATCAGTGCGGTCTGAAAACCAGATGTTGTTGAACGTGCCCCGGTCTCGTCTCAAAACTCGAGGAGACCGAGCCTTTTCTGTTGCTGCCCCCAAACTGTGGAATAGTCTACCTCTGTTCATCAGAGCAGCTCCTTCATTGGAAGTTTTTAAGTCTAGTTTAAAGACACATTTTTACACCTTGGCTTTTAACACCAGTTGAGGTTTTTACCACTTTGTGTATGTATTTTATACTGTTTTATTTTTATTTTTATCATTCGTGCCTGTGAAGCACTTTGGGCAGCTGGTGTTGTTGTAAATGTGCTATATAAATAAAGTTGACATTGACATTGACATTGACATTTACAGGATGGACCAAAAGTTGGCTCTTGGCCCAAAGCTCCGTTCCACATGTGTGTCAATGCTGAGGGGGGTGGATTTTTTTGGTCCACTCTATTTTACTTGCTGTGAATTTTTTAAGTCTCTCGTTCAAATGAATGGAGCTGCGCCGGCTGACGCATGCACAGATGCGTTTTTCACAATTTTCTTGTTTTCGGGACCACTCGCGGCCATTTTGGATAGCTCCAGTAGAGCATTATTTTTGGCCCATTAGTTAGAACGGCGGAGATAGGCGTGACTCTGTCCGTTAATATATACAGTCTATGGTCCAGACTCTGATTACGGACGTGGATATTTTGTGTGTTACTATGTGTGTCTGTGTGACCTTTGACCTTTACTGATGGGGCATTTGTGTTTTGTTCCAGAGCCTGAAGAATATGTGGTTGTCTCGTTATGCCAAAGACTCAGCGAACCCTGGGATCCTGGTGCTGTTGGGCTGTGGCACCATTTCCAGCACCTGTGGGCAGCTGGCCAGCTACCCCCTGGCCCTGATCCGCACCCGGATGCAGGCCCAAGGTACTGACCTCTGACCTCAGACCACTGACCAGTCATGGACACTCTGCATCAGAACGGTTTATTATTTTTTATACTTCTTTATAATTATTATGTTCAAGGTAGAGATTTTATACTTGTTCTTTGATGCTGGAGTTAGATTTTGTTTCATTTTAATTAGTATAGATATCGTTCACTTGTGCTGTGTGCTCCTCATTCCTACTGTTCTATAACTTGTGATGCAACACTGAAATTTTCCCACTGTGCGACGTAAAAAAGGATCTCTTCATTTTAATGATAATGAATACAACCAACCTCCAGTCTTTAAATATCACCTTATATGGAGTGAAGCTGCCAGAGAGAGGGACTAGAGAGAGCGATCTGAAAAGAGATCAGAGGGAGAGACCTGAGAGAGCACCCAGAGAGACCAGAGAGAGAGAGAGAGAGAGATGTAAACTTGGTATAATGTGTGTTTTGTGTTGCAGCCTCGGTGGAGGGCTCGGAGCAGCTGCCCATGGGTCAAATGGTGAAGAGGATCCTGGAGAAGGAGGGTTTCTTCGGTCTTTATCGTGGGATCCTTCCAAACTTCATGAAGGTCATTCCTGCTGTCAGCATCAGCTACGTGGTCTACGAGTACATGCGCTCTGGCCTGGGCATTCAGAAGTGAGAGAACAGAGAGAGACCAGAGCAAGACCAGACGGAGACCTTACAGACCAGACCACAGCCACTGGTCCATGTTGTGTGTCCTGTTTAAAATCCAATCCAGTGGTGTATGGACTCATAGGTGATGTCATTGCAAAGAGAGTAGAATCTCTCTCATATCCGCTGTGTGCGTGTGTGCGTGTTTACCAAAAAGCACTTCTAAAATCAAGTCAAAGAAAGTGTGTTCTCTCCATTTGAACCAGTTTGTTGATAAAAAAAAGCCTTAAAATGAATGTGCAATACTGTTTCCATCTGAATGCTGTTATCAAGGGTTGTGTCCTATAAAAATGCCTTTATTTTCAATGTTTGGTTTGTAAGAAATAATGTTATCTTTAATAAAAACACTGTCACATTGCATTGCTCGATTTCAATAGCCTCCTTAACTTCAGAGACACAAACCAGGTCAAAGCACAGTTCACCTTGTATGAACGGTGCTATACTAGCCTGGTCATACCACACCATAGTACATATTACATTTTAGCAAATGACGATTGAGCGTAGTGTCAGGCTCGTGCTATACCAATACATCAGTTGGATATAGAGCTTTTCTGGACACTCAGACGCTTCACGTGTCATTATTTCACTCCATACACTGTGATAAACTTCTACTGTAGCCACATCTGCCCTGGGGCACACTGACATAAGCAAGGCAACCAGTCTAATTAAATTCAATTTATTCTTGTATCGCCGAATATCACAACATGAGAGTGAGTGTTATGAGACTTTACACAACCGTTGAATTCGCAAACACAGATCAGAGAATCAAACACAAGATGATAAACACATTGGTCCAGAAGGGGCAGAGACCAAAGTCCATAAGTGTTGTTGAATGTTGAGTGTTCTGGATCATCGCTGTCCTTGTGTCAGACCCTCCTGCACTGGAACAAGTCTAGACGGACTCTAGATCATCAGCAACAGCCCCTACCACCACCAACCATTCACACATACACCAGACTCACTAATTTGGGTGAAGTGTCTTGCCTAAGGACACAACCATGGAGGTGTGGCCATAAAAATAAAGTCACCTTGCCTCACACATACAGAGATATATTACACGTTATCTTAAATCTCTCATTGTCCAGAGTAGCCAAGCACCACACAGGAACACATGTTTATTTCAGCTGTTCAGAGAGAAGGTGTTAAGCGACTTATCCTTGAGCCAAGTGCAATTATAGTTCTAGAGAGAGACCAGAGAGACTAGAGAGAAATCAGAGAGACCAGAGAGACTAGAGAGAGAAACCAGAAAGAGAACAGAAAGAGAACAGAAAGAGAACAGAGAGAGACCAGAGAGAGACCAGAAAGACGCCGAGCACCACACACACACATACACTTTCATGTATCTGTGTGTTTCAATTGTTCAAAAAGAAATCATTGAGCCGTTTCTCCGGGAAGGCCCCGTACACCAGCAGAGTTGCTCCCAGAGACGCCGTGGCGACGATGGTGAGCACGGCGCGCATAGCTTTGAACCAGCGAGGGTACGTGGGCAACAACGCCAGGTCGTAGTGCAGCGCCACGCCCAGCCCCATGATCACCATGATTGCTGCGGGGACGATGGTCTGGACCAGCAGCAGAGACACCCAAGCCAGCAGCGACGGCACCACACTGTTCCCCAGGTTCAACCAGTCCGGTTTCTCCGGGCTGCCGGGAGGGAGAGCAAACCCTGGGGCGGAAAAATACTATTAATAATCAGAGACCAGAGAGGGACCAGAGAGGGACCAGAGAGGGACCAGAGAGGGACCAGAGAGGGACCAGAGAGGGACCAGAGGGGGACCACAGAGGAACCACAGAGGAACCACAGAGGAACCACAGAGGAACCACAGAGGAACCACAGAGGAACCACAGAGGGACCAGAGAGGGACCAGAGAGAGAGAGATCAGAGAGAGAAACCAGAGAGAGACACCAGAGAGAGACCAGAGATGAGTAACTACACTTCCTGAGCAGTCAATTTGACAGCTTTTAGTTTTGGGAGTTCTCGTGTTAATGAAGCCTCAGTATCAGAATAAAGTTGTCCGTAACAAACCCCAGCGCACGCCACCAAGAAACGACAAGATGGAGGCTCCGTAAGCGACTTGGGCAAAGGCGACCTCTGGGATGTAGATTTCGGTCGCCGCCATGAAGAGGGAGGGGCAGACGAACGGCAGGAGCCCAGAGAAGCCCAGGTACAGAGCTGGTTTGGGGCCATGGAACAGCTCCTTCATGTCATAACGGAGCAGGTCCAGCTCGCGGGGGGCGGGTTCAGGCTGCGGGCGCTTGGTGAGGCACGCGGGGGAGGAGTGGGTGAGGCGAGGGTGTGCTGGGGGAACGGGAGAGGGTTTGAGGGGGAGGAGAGTCTGTGTTGGGGAGAGAAAGGAGGAGGAGAGACAGGGAGAGGCCCAGTGTGTTTGAGAGGAGCTGACGCAGAGGAGGAACTGTAAAGGGAAAGAGATGAGAGTTTAGAAATTCTGTGGGCTGTCAATGTGTGAAGACCAGAGATCAGAGAGAGACCAGAGAGAGGGACGAGAGAGAGGGACCAGAGAGAGATCAGAGAGAGACCAGGGAGAGACCAGGGAGAGACCAGGGAGAGACCAGGGAGAGACCAGGGAGAGACCAGGGAGAGACCAGGGAGAGACCAGGGAGAGAGGGACCAGGGAGAGACCAGGGAGAGACCAGGAAGAGACCAGGGAGAGACCAGGAAGAGAGGGACCAGGGAGAGACCAGTGTATCATCTATACACAGACAGCGTTTTGGGGGTTAGAGCAAAGAGACCATCAACTTTACCTTGTGGGACATGAAGGCCCCTCTTCTCAAAGATAAAGACAACATCTGCAAGAAACACATTTGATTAATACAACAATATATCACAAACATGGAAAACATACATACCAGACAAATGCAAAAGTCAAATCAAATTAAAACACTTACATATCTATACAAACGGAAAATTATAAATGACTAAACAGGCTTAAGATAGATTTATATTATTTATTATCTGTACATTTTCTGTTCAAACTATAACAGGACTTTAAGCCCAAAAGAGTGACATTACTGAGCTAGAGAAAATTACTTTTGCCAGAGAGTTGGAGCAAAACTTATTGCCATATTAGAATAAAATACACAATGAATGCCATTTTTATTTTCAATGTTTTTGTCAAACCACAAGTTACAATTAAGACTGAATATTGCCTTTTCATTTCACTTCAAGTCTTTCATCAAAATGCATTTCTGTAACACTCGTCCATCAGCATTACGAAAAGCACAAGAATAAATCTGAGTTTTGGCTTATAAAACCAACCCATTAAAACACGCAACACATCGATAACAAGCAATAAAAGTAGATCCACATGTGCAACATACTCACTTTGTTATAAACAGTGGATTATGATGTTTTTAAATCACTTTCTTTCGGAGGTCAGGAAAGATCCGCCGTCCGCGTCCATGTTGTGCTTCTCTGTTTTCATTCCGTGTTGATTCCAAAACTATGGTTCCGCTTTTCAATGATGACAGCGCACCCAGTCCAGCAACAGACACACATTAGTAAACAGACAGCTAGGTTCTTCGATTCAATTCCTCTATTATAATTTTCTTATATCCACTAGAGGTCAGTGTACTCATGAGAATGTGACCTTAGCTGTAAGGGGTTATAAATAGAACCACATATTTTTTTTTAGAAAAGTGATTATTAACTTGTCACTGTTTGACTCTTTTCCACTTTTCTTCTGGAAATGTCTTTATTTCCAGTCAAACATTCTGGGATGAATCTGAACCGTTTTGAATTCCAAACTCATTAATTAAATAGTGTCAAAAAATGCGAAACAGTTAACAATGATTTTATGGGGCTTTATTACAGGTCATTTTACAATCCACGGTTTTTTGCAGACGTTTTTTTTTTTTTTGCGGATTTACAGCCTCAGTCCTGTTGTTATTATTATTGCATTTCCTGTGTTCAAACTGTTGGATTCTCTGATCTGTTGTTGGTGAATCCACAACTTTGTGAAGTCCTCCAAGACGACTGCTGCTGTGATTTAGTGCCATGCATAAATACATTGAATCTAATTGAGATTAGTAATGTAAAAACACACATGTTTACGCTTTAATAAATTAATCAAATATGACTTCATTAATAAGTGAGATTTATATCTATCATCTCTTCAGCAAAAACATCCTTTATTGATATTGTGTGTGAGCACATAGAACCAAAACACAAATAAGCATTGATTTGATTTGATATGAGCCCTTGGAACGGTGTCATTTCCGGTGTCACTTGAGCAACACATGGATCATTCGCTCCTTAGAGTTTAGCACAAACAGAGACGTGTCCTGGTCGTCTGTGGGAGACTGAATAAATATGATACAGGGATGGAGACCTCCTCAAACAGCACCGTTGCTCTGGAACACAAACAACAGACCAATAAACACTGGTGATTTCTCTCTACAGTTTCATAATTCTGTGGTATATGTCTTTGTGCTTAAACCTGCGGGATTCACCAGCTTCTTTAGGTGGGAAAAAATATTTTCTGTTCAGTAATTTAATTAACAGACCATAATATATGTGACATTTGAGTTGAGTCTTATTTGTGTAATGTCTATGAGGAACATGAATCACGATATATCATAGAATCAAATCACAATACTTGCTGAAGCTTGTTAAAAATTGCAATAATATTGAATTGTGGCCCAAATATTACAATACAATCAAGTCATCACATTTTTGACGATTCCCACTCTTTCTCTTTAGTCAACATGTGTCATAGTAATTTGAGGTAAAACCTTACTTTTGAAAGTTGAAAATCAATGTAATTACGGTCCTCTCTCCTCTCTCCTCAGTCCTCACTCCTCTGTCCTTTCTCCTCTCTCCTCAGTCCTCTCTCCTCTCTCCTCAGTCCTCTCTCCTCTCTCCTCAGTCCTCTCTCCTCAGTCCTCTCTCCTCTCTCCTCAGTCCTCTCTCCTCTCTCCTCAGTCCTCTCTCCTCTGTCCTCTCTCCTCTCTCCTCAGTCCTCTCTCCTCTCTCCTCAGTCCTCTCTCCTCTCTCCTCAGTCCTCTCTCCTCAGTCCTCTCTCCTCAATCCTCAGTCCTTGTGTGTCTCACCTCGCCGCAGCAGCCGCAGCAGTCCCCGCACAGGGCCCCCAGGAGGCCGTTGACCACCTGCACCGCACACAGAGCCACCTGCACCAGCCCCACCACCAGCAGCACCAAGAACAGGGACAGGTGCCAGTGGACCACGTTTGGAGGACCTTTGCACTGCGCCCACAGGGTATGGTTCGTGAGGTAGTCCCTGCAGCGGGGAAAGAGGGGAAAGGGAGGAAAGGGGGAAGAAGGTTACATTTCCGGTCTTTATGACTTTGTGACGTTTATTTAATTTTTTTAATGAATTTAACTTTTGTGTTTTACATGTGAGGAATTTTACATTTAAATTGAATGTACATTTCAAGTGTGTCCAGTTTTGGTTGCTTGGCAATCAAGGTTCTATGGAAATTATATCCCTCTGGTCTCTCTCTGTTCTCTCTCTCTCGGTTATCTCTCTGGTCTATCTGGTCTCTCTCTGGTCTCTTTCTGATCTCTCTCTCTCTCTAGTCTCTCTCTCTGGTCTCTCTCTCTCTGATCTCTCTCTGGTCTCTCTCTGGTCTCTCTCGCTGGTCTCTCTCTCCGATCTCTCTCTGGTCTCTCTCTCTCCGATCTCTCTCTGGTCTCTCTCTCTCTGATCTCTCTCTGGTCGCTCTCTGGTCTCTCTCCCTGGTCTCTCTCTCCGATCTCTCTCTGGTCTCTCTCTCTCTGATCTCTCTCTGGTCGCTCTCTGGTCTCTCTCCCTGGTCTCTTTCTCTGGTCTCTCTCTCAAATCTCTCTGTGGTCTGGAGTTGTGCAGCCCTTAATATTTCTTCAAATACAATCACTTAGTCTTGGGTCCACTACAGCATCACTCCCGCTCCCTGTGTTTGTTATTATTGCATTTCCTTTGTTTGAACTGTTTGATTCTCTGATCTGTTGTTTATGAATCCACAACTTTGTAAAATACTCAGAGGCGTCTGCTGCTGAGATTTAGGGCGACACAAAAACATTAGATCACAGAGGTCAGGTGTGCGACAGTGAGTCCTGGTCTCACCCGTCGTTGAAGGGCGTGGTCCAGTTCTTGTTGACGGAGTCGGTCATACACTTGGGGCCGTGGTTGATGGCGACAGAGGAGACGATGATGGAGTAACCGGCGCCCGCCACCCCCAATGCGGCGAACAGGATGGAGCTCAGCATCTGTGTGAGACATGAGATTTTACAATACACACACACACAGACAAAGATACACACAGACAAAGATACACACACACAAAGATACACACACACACAGACGGCAATAGTAACGGCTTAAACGAGCGCAAGGTCTGTACAGAGAAATATCAGACCGCAGCATTTTTGTACAGACCGAACAAGCGAGGTTAATAAATGTTTTATTATATGACTTTTTAATTCATGCAAATATCGATTGTTTCAGCTAGCAAAAACACAACCAAACTGTCAAATCGTGACATGGAGAATTTGCTTATCAGATGATTGAGGTCGCCGCTGGTAAGTTCTCAATCTCTTGTGTGTCTTTACCAATGCTTTTTAGATATTTGTGAAGTATGTTCATGTCCGACTTGGTTTTCCTAATCGTGTTTTTAGCTTTCTGATCTGTAACGGAGTTGTCAATCTCTTCTTGACAGTTAGGAGTTGTGTTTTCGTCGTTATTTGCTGTTATTACTTCCTCTGGCTCTTCGGACTCGTCCGGATAAAAGAATCCACTGGGAGAATGCTCCCAGTCGTCGCTCATAATTTCTTTTTTACAGAGGAAAGATATCAAATCTGATACGCGCTGCGGATCACTTGTCATGGTAACGGTCCGAGATGGGAAAATATCAGACCGTAAATCAGCCAATCAGAGCTCCCGTACGATCCAAGTGATATAATAATTTGCAATACATCACAATATCAACACATACATTCATACGCACGCACGCACGCACGCACGCACACACACACACACACACACACACACACACACCTCCACATTCCCAGACTATCGGCCCTGAGAGGACAAAGGGATCTCTGTGTGAAGCGTTGTGATGTTAATGGAAAAATCAAAGACACAAAGTTGTTTGAAAGAGTTAATGATTAATCGTGATATTGATTGATTTGAAAACAATGGGGGGATTCCACCGTGTCGCCTCAAGCTGGACACCTAACTTTGTCTTAGTTTCATACATACACTGTACTTGTATGGCGCTTTTTGGGCACTCAAAGACACGTTACAAAGGGACAGGTTAAAAAACGTATGTGGGGCGACAGTGGCTCAGTTGGTAGAGCATTGGCCTCAGAGCCTGAAGGTTGTGGGTTCGAGCCCACCACAAGACCCACTTCACAACTCCCACTGACGTCTGCTGTCGTTGTGTCCTTGGGCAAGACACGTAACCCACTTTGCCTGAAGCCCCTGCTGAATAATCAAAGCTCCTGTGGACTCACCACCCGCAGGAGGATCGGTGAGGGGCTGGCGGGCTATGTGAACTGGGTGCAGCTCTGACTGCCACCCCCCCGACCGAGAAATGGATTAAGGGGAAGAAAATGGATGGATGGAGGTTAAAAAATGGATAAAGGTTTAAAAAAAAGACGAGATAAAAAAAAAGTAAAACAGTCAAGAGGTGGTTGGCAGAGGGTGCAAACCTTTGAGTGTTTGCTGATGTATGGACAAGACTCTAATTACTGACAAGTCGTTATCGCTCATAAACTCTGAACACACATGTCATATAGTCTGGGTCATAATCTGGGTTTATAGGACTGTTGGCAAAGTCACTGTTTGTTTTCAATAACACTGCGTTACCTGAGGATCATAACAATAGTAAGAATTAGAGATGCACCGATACTATTTTTTCAAAACCGTTTTGAGTACCTTAATTTGAGTACTTGCCGATAGAAAGGATAGAGAAGAGAGAGAGGAGAGAGTGGAGAGAGAGGAGAGAGTGGAGACAGAGGAGAGAGAGGTTAGAGGAGAGGGAGAGAGAGAGGAGAGGGGAGAGAGAGGACATACAGGGGAAAGAGGAGAGAGATGTTCACCAAACCAATTGGCGTTATTTTGGTGAACATCATAAATTCTAACAGATGTCTAGGTCCAGGGTCTCTACACTGTATTAAAACTTTTAGCAATTTTGACATGTGTTTGAACCGACCAATCACCTGCTTTGGAATGCCCCATTCTTGTTCAGCACCTCAGAGCACCTACAGCACATCTGAATATTATCGTATGTTTTAGAGACAGTACGAACGTCAACAATGAATCTGAAGGAAAAGTTTGTTGAGTTTTCCAGATTCATTGAGAACACAGAAAAAATATGAATAATCTCCTCGGAGGAAGAAGTTCTGATCACTCACATTCACACCTCTAACCTCTAAGGCAGTGTTTCAGATACATGCCAATCTGGAACAGTCTTCCTGAAAATGTGAGACAGACTTTTTTCTCTGACAATCTTCAAATCTTGCATTTATATTTTCACTCTTTTTAATGTACTGTGATTATGATTTTAAAGCCTTGTGTGATTGTTTCTATCTTGTTTTATTCAGCGCTTCGATTTGCCTTGTGTGTGAACTGTGCTATAAAAATAAAATTGCCTTGTCTCTCTCCATGCTCCCCTCTCCTCTGCACACAAAATCTCAAGTCATCCTCTGTCATATCTCTCACATCCAGACCTTGGCCCACCTCTCGATCTACTACCCCCCATTCAACTATTCATCTCTCCCTTCATCAGTCTCTCTCCATTCATCTCAGGACCTGCTCTACTAGCCTCTCTGTGTGTGTTTGTGTGTGTGTGTGTGTGTGTGTGTGTACCAGACAGCTCACCTAACTGAATAACATTGTTGTAAGGTCTATTTTTAAGAACATTCAACATGGTGAGGTCCATGAGGAACTTTGATAAACACAGGAGAAAAAACAAATATTAACTCACCGCAAACCTCCGCCCACAGCTTTCGTTTCCGCAGCAACCACAGCAGTCATTGTTCTTCAATCCGAGGAAGACGAGAGCGGGAAAGATCATCTGCGGCAAACATGGGACCATAAAACTATAAAACCATAAAGGCAGCAGCATCCTCCATCTTCTACCCTGTATCCTCTGTCCTCACACATCCAACTTTTTAGATTTCCCTGCATTTCATCATAGACTGCATACAGATGGACAATGCTAACCCGCTAATGCTAACCCGATAGTTCAATTAAGTCCTATGAAGTGCTCATGGTGAAGTTTGGATCCTCTCGCTCTGATTCCTATTGACTTCCATGTTAAAGCAAACTCCTCTAGCTCAGTAATCGTTTATGTCACACTCAAAATGCAGATTCCCCTTGAATGAAGGCCTCTGATTGGGCGATCCTTAAATGGCTCATATCTGGATTTATTTAAGCTAATATCACCAGGATCACAGAGAGCGATAAACACAGTGTGACACAAACGGCTACTGAGCTGGAGGAGTTTACTTTTACATGAAAACCAATTGTACCAATTGGAGCCAGAGAGAGGGAACCAAACTTCATCATGAGCACTTCCCTGTTGAGTATGATTTTTGTTCTTATATTCTAATTACAACTTGTAGAGCTTAGACCTAAACAAAAGATGCAATCCCATTCTTTGAAAACTTCCTGGATCCAGATATTGATCAAGATCATCTCCAAAAGTTCTCATGTGGCAAACTTTAAAAAACACAAAAAGGTTGGATGCCCTTCTTTTTATGTAATTTATTCAAAGTGCTGCAGCATTTATAAACCATAAAATCTATGTTTCAGTCATTGTGGCCTCTCTCTAGTCTCTCTCTGGTCTCTCTTTACACTATCTCTCTGGTGTCTTTCTGGTCTCTCTCTGGTCTCTTTCTAGTCTCTCTTTGGTCTATCGCTCTGGTCGCTCTCTAGTCTCTCTCTTTGGACTAACGCTCTAGTCTCTCTCTGGCCTCTCTGGTCTCTCTCTGGTCTATCTCTGGTCTCACTCTCTAGTCTCTCTCTGGTCTCTCTCTGGTCTATCTCTGGTCCCTCTCCAGTCTCTCTCTGGTCTCTTTCTGGTCCCTCTGGTCTCTCTCTCTGATCTATCTCTGGTCTCTCCCCTTTTTCTTCCACTGACCAGAACTCCGGAGCCGACGATGCCTCCCAGGTAGAAGACCTCGACTGTGATGTGGTCCGTCTCTTGAGTCTTTCCTCCAGGAAAAAACAGTAAAATATTGCACAGGATGCAGACGATGGCCAGTGGGATGAGGCTGATGCCCAGGCACTTGGCAAAACCACCACAACACATGGTTCCAACCAGAAATCCACCAGTAATACAGAGAAACACTATGTAGAAGCAGGAGTGAGAAGGCTGTGTCTGTCTGTGGATGCAGCAGCAGGTGTGGCCTTTATACCCCCAGCCCTGCCCCTTCACCAGCTTCCTCTTCATGGTGTATACGGATCATTTTGGACTATTACTGTTGGAACGACACCTAGTTTGAAGCTGGAGGACTTTACTGATTTCAGATTTATGCTGCTAAAATCTGGGACGGTCTTCCTGAAAATGTGAGACAGGCTTCTTCTCTGACAATGTTCAAATCCAGGTTAAAAACATTCTTCTGTGACTGTTTCTATCTTGTTTTGTTCAGTATGTTCAGTACTTGGACTAACTGTGAACTGTGCTATACAAATAAACTTGCCTCGCCCCTTTTCTTACATTGATAGTGCACGACTGAAAGCCTTGTCAAGTCAAGTATTTTGAACAAAGCAAACCTCAAACTGTTTGCACCCTATCAGAAACATATACAGGTACTGTGTAAACAGATGGATAATGATGACATTTTTGCCCAATGACGCCCGATAGAAAAGTGCTCATGGTGAAGTTTTGTTCTCATTCTCACTGGCTTCTATTGTCTTACATTTGTAAAAGTAAACTCCTCTAACTCAGTGACGGTTTGAGTCACACTCACCATTTTGAGCTTAAATCTGTGGTTTATCGCTCTCTGGGATCCTGGTGTTTATGGTGTCTTTAAAATCCAGATATGAACCATTTAAGGTCTGACCAGTTCATCAATTTTACACTTTCAGATGCGGTAATAAAGGTTATGTGTTTCATATAAGGTTTCACAAGGTGGAAAACACAGCTATGCACTGAAATACATTTGAACATGTTTTTAATTAATACCACACATTAGAAGATACAAACCCCTGTGAGAAACTTCAGGACAGAGACCTGAGACCAGGACTAATGTGTTATAATAATACAATATAATTTAGTCATATTTGGGTCATTTGACAGGTTATTGTGGCCATACATGCACTTGAAAGCCAGATCCTGTCAGACCTTTAAAGCTAAGCAGGGCATGGTCTAGTTAGTACTGTGATGAGAGACCTCTGGGAACACCAGGGGCCTCAGTGAGGCGGCTACCAAGTGCCAAACTGTGATTGTGTCATTAGGCAAGACACTTCACCCACATTAGGAGTCCGGTGTGTGTGTGAATGGTTGGTAGTGGAAGGAGTAGCCAATGGCAGGCTCCAGGGCCTGTCTGACCCTCTCCCAGAAGAGGCCCCGTGGCTTCGGCTCCAGCTCAGATACCGCGAGAATATGATTATCAACTGTTTTGTCACTTAAAAATCAACGTATATGTTTCAAGAGTAAAGTCTGTCATACTTAGATCCAGAATCCTCAAGTTGTGGAGAAAGGTTTTGCTCGACACGTCCCAGTGGAGATCTGATAGGATCTTTTACAAAGTGAGTACTTTTTACAAAGTGAGTATAAACATGACAAAATGTTTGCAAGAAGCTGAGGCACAGGTCTGTGACGTTTAAGGGAAATGGAAAATCCTTGGGCTCAAAGGAAGTGACAGAGTTCTCACCCAAGTTTGTGAGTTTGTTACAGAACAAATTCAGTTCTGTTAAAGTTGATGAATCCAAAAAGGTGCCCCAGATTTAATGAACAAAATCAGGTTTGATCCAAAATCTGAGTTTGGAGTTTGTCAAAACCGGATAAATCCGTCTGCTATGACCTTGTTGCTCATAGCAGCCAATTTGGGGATGTCTATGTTTTTAGTTGTAGGGGAAACCAGAGCACCTAGAGGAAACCGAAGCACCTGGAGGAATACGGAGCACCCGGAGGAAACCTACGCAGACACAAGTAGAATATGCAAACTCCACACAGAAAGACCTGGAGGAGACCTTCTTGCTGTGAAGCACAAACTCTAACCACTGCACCACCTCTTGTTGGCAGAAGGCGGATAACTTTCAGCCCTGAAATAGGGACCGGACGTGAAGCAAAAGCAGAGCATGCAAATAGCTCGGATCCCATGCTTACAGTATGTGTACAGTATGTTACAGTGTGTCTCTTTCTATTTAAAACTACTGTCCCTCAAATACAGTTTAAAGCAGGGGTGTGTAAATTATCTCTCCTGGGGCCACAGTCCATGGTTATTTTGTTGTTACCATTTCACATTTAACATATTCGAGTGTCACCTACTTCTGTTCAGAGAAGAAAACCTGAAGAATGTTGTGGACAGATACAAGTTTTTTCATGAGTTTTTTTGAAACTATCACTTTGTAGCAGAATGTAGCACTCATTCATTTAAATGGAGGGAGAGAGTGTGAAGTTTGCAGATGAGTGTCGGACTATGTTGGGGCTAAATCATGTTGGTCTACAGCTATGCATACCACTGATTTAAATTGATTTCATTCTCTAGTTTAACAAATTATGAGTTTATTATGTCTCTATTGTAAGGATGAAAAACAAAACATTATGACACAATTGTGCTATATGAATACATTTACATGATGCATTTGTTTTTGCACTGCCAACTTAGGTTTAACTGTTTTTAGTGTCGAAGCATGAGTTTAATGAAATGATGATCTTGTGAACCCTGGAGCCTAGACGCTGACGGAGAAGGAAACTGAGCTGACAAGATGACGATCACTGAAGAGGTGGGTTGCTGCACAAACAGCAGCCTAAAGCGCCAGATAACTGCTTTTAAACAGAGCCTGTTCAAATGCAGCTGAGGCTGATGATGAGCTCAGGTGCAGGTGGGAAGAGAGGGCGTCTCTTTTGGTCTTCTTGTCTGAATCTACGCTTAAGCTGCGTCTAGAATATATAAATAAATAAACACCTGTGTTGTGTTGCTAAATGTGCTATTGCCATTTTCCGTCCACAATAGTATTGTTTTTTACCAAATCATAAAGTCTTTTAGTGAGAGAATATTCAGGTTTTTAGGCTTCACTTAAAATAAAGTATGTTTACATTTATTCAAGTAACAGCATTAGCTCAATGCATTTTAAATTTCTTGTCTATACTTTTAATCACGTATTTAAAAAGTATTTTATTCCGCTCTTAGAGTATTTGCTCTGTGCTCGTCCCTGCACCCTGCTCAGAACTCAGACCTCAGACTTCAGACCTGAGGAATCGTCTCAGATCACATCCAGCTCCGTCTGAAGTCCACATTTAGACCGCCTTTACCCCTAGGGCCCGGGTCATGCGGCTGCACTCCCACTCCGCTCTGCCTGCTGCCACACGGTGTCCTAAAGCCGGACATGTCGCAGGATTCCCTCCGGTTCAGCTCTCGCCGCTCTCCGGTGATCTCTCTGAGCGCATCCGTCGCTTCGAGTCAGACTCTCGCCACTGGAGCTGGACTCGGTGAGTGACAGCTACGGTTTCCATGGAGATACGGTGATGCATCTGTGCAGAAAAGGCGGATACAAAACAGGAACAAAAGTCTGTGTGAAAGTAAAATCTAAAGCAGGAGTAAAGCAGGACTGAAGCAGGTCTAAAGCGGAACTATAGCAGGTCTAAAGCAGCGCTAAAGCAAGTGTTAAGTAGGATCAAAGCAGGTCTAAAGCGGAACTAAAACAGGTCTAAAGCAGGAGTAAAGTAGGAATAAAGCAGGTCTAGAGCAGGACTATAGCAGGTCTAAAACAGGATTAAAGCAGGTCTAAAGCTGTACTAAAGCCAGTGTAAAGTAGGACTAAAGCAGGATATTGCAGGTCGAAATCGGGACTAAAACAGTACTAAAGCAGGTGTAAAGAAGGACTAAAGCTGGTCTAAAGCAGGTCTATAGCAGGACTAAAGCAGGACTAGAGGAGGTCTAGAGCAGGATTTAACCAGGTCTTAAGTAGGACTAAAGCAGGTCTTAAACAGGTCTAAAGCAGTGCTAGTACTAAAACAGGACTAAAGCAGGACAAGAGCAAGTGTAAAGCAGGACTAAAGCCGGTCAAAAGCAGAATTAAACATGGAGAGGCAGCGTTTCAGAACTGTCTTCCAGATCCCCTACTTTTAATCACTTAGTTTTGCATTTAATTGATTTTATTCTTGAGTCTCTTCCTCTCACCAGCTTTTATCTCTGTATTCTACACTGCACGTTATAGTGTATTAGATTCATGTGTGATTTTAAATTGTCTCTGTGGAGCCTTTGCCTTGTGATCTCTGTGTTTGCGCTATACAAATAAACTTTCCCTGATGAGCTGCTGTTGCAGAGGTGCTGAGGCGTGGGGGCAATGCGGCAGACGCAGCCGTAGCCGTAGCTGCCACTCTGGCCGTGACTGAACCCTGCAGCACTGGACTAGGAGGAGACGCCTTCTGCCTCTACTACTGCGCAGAGACCGGGGAGATCCAGGGTCTAAATGGCAGGTAGGACTATGAGGACGTATCACTCTAGCAATACCATGAGGACATAGCACTTTACCAATACCATGAGGACCTAGCACTTTAACAATAACTTGAAGACATAGCACTTTAACAATACCACAAGGACACAGCACTTTCACAAAACCATAAGGACATATCAGTATAACTATACAATGAGTACATAGCACTTTAACAATACCATGGGGACACAGCACTTTAACAATACCATGAAAAATAACACTTTAACAAAACCTTGAGGACCTAGCACTTTAAGAATACCCCAAGGACAAAACACTGTAAAAATACCATGGGGACACAGCACTTTAACAATACCATGGGGAAACAGCACTTTAAAGTGATAGTCTGTAACTCTAAATGAATTAAACATTTTAGGAAATGTGTTGAATTGACCTCCTGGCCTTAAATGTTGATATAAAATAAGTCATTTTATTTATTCTAATATTACGGGTAAGTCCCGCCTTCCCTTCTCTTTGCTATAGTTCAGAATCCACGGTGCTGTCGAGGTTAACCAATCGAGTCATGCCAAGGGCTGTCAATCATCTGCGCTGATGCTCGTAGCTGCTCATGCTCAGTTGTTTGTTTTCATGGAGCCTCCGAATCAAGCCTCTCTGGCTCTGGAACTACATGAAATCTGAACAAAGAATTCTGGACATTTGTGCTGAGTTACTCATTTATATACTGAACCTACAGTATATCCATAATCAGATCCTCTGCAGATGGGTCCTATAATGTGCAGTTCATGATAATAGCTTGTTCCTGGTTCGCCGCGATCGCTTTTTTTGTTCATAAAAACATTATTTTTTTCATTAAAACTTTAACAAATAATTCTGAAAACCTCCGTGCATGTGTATTAATAATGTATATGTATAATGTGTTCTCTGATTAACATTTAAATGTGTTACGGAAACGTAGGTGTAGACCAATCAGAAAGGAAGAGGGAGGGAGCTTTGGTTGTTTTTTTCAAATCAAGTACCTCTTTGTCTCTCTTTCTGACATACTCCAGACAATCACTTTAACAATACCATGGGGACACAGCACTTTAACAATACCATGAGGGCATAGCACCTTAGCAATGTCATGAGGACACTTCACTTTACCAGTACCATGGGGATACAGCACTTTAACAGTACCATTGGGACACAGCACTTTAACCGTACCATGGGGACACAGCACTTTAACAATATAATGAGGACATAGCACCTGGGGACTGCTCCATATAAACAGACAGGTCTCCCACAGTGGTCGTGCCGCTGAGGCCCAGTCCTTGGATTTCATGGAGGGGCGTGGCTTCAGTGCGGAGACTCCGCCCACTGCCTTTGATGCTCTGAACGTGACGGTCCCAGGCGCCGCGGCATGCTGGTGTGACACACTGAAGCTGTTCGGCAGTCAGCGGGTTAGAACGCACGCACGCACGCATGACGCACGCACACACATGCACACACACACACACACACACACACACACACACACACACACACACTCTCCTCTTCCTCTCCGGTGGCAGCACAGGGAGTTCTAGATATTATTTCACAAAATAAAAACACCATATGTAAAGGACAAAAATACATGCATCATACTTCTCCTTTAAACCTACAACTGTATATTTCTCTCATGAATCCTCCTCTCTCTGGTTTCTCTCTCTGGTCTCGCTGTCTGTCTTGTCTTTCTGTCTCACCCCACATGGTTCCTCCCTCAGTTTCTGTGTGTCTCTTTGTCTCCCCTGGTCTCACCCACTTGGTTCCTCTCCCAGTTTCTGTGTGTCTCTTCGTCTCCCCTGGTCTCACCCCACATGGTTCCTCTCCCAGTTTCTGTGTGTCTCTCAGTCTCCCCTGGTCTCACCCCACATTGTCCCTCTCCAGCTGACCCTGCCGGCGGTGCTGGAGGGGGCAGTGCGTCTGGCTGAGGCTGGGTTTCCCGTGGCCGAGGTAACGGCACACCACTGGTCCCACTGGGTCTCTGAGCTGCAACAGGCCGGGAGGAACCTGCACCCAGACCTGCTGCTCCAGGGGGAAGCGCCCAAGGCCGGGGAAGTGTTCACCAATCCAGAGCTTGCAAACACACTCAGGGTAATGTGTGAGTGTGGAATACTGATGTTTAAAGCTATGGTATCTCTCTTGTCTCTCCCTGGTCTCTCTTGCCGGCCTCTCTCTTTCTAGTCTCTCACTGGTTTCTCTCTAGTCCGTCTCTGGTTGCTCTTGCTGGTCTCTCTCTTGCTGGCCTCTCTCTCTCTGGTCTCTCTAGTTTCTCTTTCTGGTCTCTCTTGCTGGCCTCTCTCTAGTTTCTCTCTGGTCTCTCTCTTCTCTCTCTCTCTGGTATCTCTTGCTGGTCTCTCTCTTTCTGGTCCCTCTCTTTAAGTTAATTTATAGTAGCAGTGGACTATATTAGTATGACGTAACCCCGATAGTTTACTTTTTAGCCCAAGAAGATGATTCTAACTGCTCTGACAGGATCCATGTGGAAAGTTATAGTCACAATCCTACATAGCAACCTCATAGCAACCAGAACCTACTAGGAGCGAGGCTGATCCGTGCAAAAGGTGAATTCAGGGTAATAGGCGTCACATGGTCTGTTATTAATGTGATAATAATAATAATAATAATAATAATAATAATGCATTGGTTTTATATGGCACTTTTCTAGACACTCAAAGACGCTTTGTCATTAGTCATTCACTCCATACACAGTGGTGATAAACTACTACTACACACACACATACACACACACACCAGACTTATTTTAATGTGGCTGAAGTGTCTTGCCTGAGGACACGTTGATGTCACATGGTGGTGATGTCACACTGTGGTGATGTCACACTGTGGTGATGTCACACTCTGTCAGTCCACTCCTTATATACTACAAGGTTATTTATCAATCCTCTGTTTGCACTGGATCTGTTACTCGCTGAGAGCTGCCTCCCACGTATTTGCCATATTTTAACCATTGATTGATGAGTCAAAGTGGCATCTTTTTGTCTTTCCTTCAGTCCACAATATGAGCTAATAAGAAAGTTTATTTGTATAGTACAGTTCATTCACAATGCAGCTCAAAGTGATGAATGAAACAATCACACAAAGCATTAAAGTCATAACTAATCACAGAGCATTAAAAAGACTTTCCTTCAGTTGTTGCAGCGAAACAGAACTGTTTTTAACTTGGATTTGAACATTGTCAGATAAGAAGCCTCTCTCACATTTTCAGGAAGACTGCTCCAGATTTTAGCTGCATGAATCTGAAATGTAGCCTCCCATGTTTAGTCCTGACACCAGCAGGAGGCCAGTCCCGGTGCTCCTCAGAGTTGGTTCATATGGCACTAACATGTCACAGGTGTACTTTGGTGCGAGGCCATGGAGAGACTTGTAACAAACAGAGCTGCTTTAAAGTCTATTCTCTGAGCCACAGAAAGCAGAGATCTGAGAACAGGACTAATTTGATGTTACTTCCTGGTTCTAGTCAGGACTAGAGCTGCAGCGTTTTGAAAATCCTGCAGCTGTTTTACAACTTGTTTGGAGAGACCTGTTACAGTAGTCTAAACGGCTGGAGACAAAAGCAGGACACCAATCTCCAAGTCTGCTTTAGACACTATGTTTTTGATCCTGGAAATGTTTTTAGATGGTTAAAATGTAAGTCTGAGTCCAGTATTACCTCTAGATATCTGACCTCATTTGAAGGTTTCAGGGAAAGACACTGGAGGTGACAGATAACACTCTCTATGGTTCTGGGACCAAAGACAATCATTTCTGTTTTGTCAATGTTTAGCTCAAGGCAGTTGTTTTGCATCTACTCACTGATCGGTTAGATGGAGCGAGTCCACTGGTCCATGTTCTCCTGCAGTCAGGGAGACATACTGTAAATCTGAGTGTCGTCTGCATAATTGTGATAGGACACAGTGTTACTGTGTTTTAACTGACCTAACGGCAGCATGTAGAGACTGAACAGAAGAGGTCCCAGGATCGACCCCTGTGGTACTCCATAGGTCAGGGCCATATGATCTGAGACACAGTTTACAATCTCCACAAAGTACTTCCTGTCTTCTATTAGGTAAGTCATTAACCAACAGTCCTCTAGTCTCTGTAAGAGGATCACCCCTTTGAAGATCTCATGGTGACAGTGTCAAAAGCTGCAGACTGAAACTTATCACATTAATTGTTGATAATAAGACGTTTGGTAAGCTATTGGAAGAATACTTTTCAAGGACTTTCCCCATAAATTGCAGATTTGAGATGGAACAATAGTTGTTAAGTCTTAGCTTATCCCCCTCCCTCACAGCCACCAGATCCTCATCATTCCTCTGTGTGTGTTTGGCAGGAGCTGGGAGAGGGAGGTAAAGCTGCATTCTACGAGGGCAGAGTCGCCGGCGCCATTTTGAAGGTGATAGAGGAGAACGGCGGAGTCCTGACGGAGCAGGACCTGAGGCGCCACCACAGCGGCACGGTGGCTGAGTGGATAGCACTCTCGCCTCTCAGCAAGAAGGTCCTGGGTTCAAATCCCGGTCGGACCAGGGCCTTTCTGAGTGGAGTTTGCATGTTCTCCCCGTGTCTGCGTAGGTTTCCTCCGGGTACTCCGGTTTCCCCTACCACTAAAAATATGTCCAATAGTTCTGGCATGCGCCTCCTGTACCGGCCCCGCTCCCATCTCTGTGTGGAGTGAGAGACAAATGCCCAAAATTAACAATTGTAAACCGCTTTGAGACTCAGATCTGCAGTGAAAAGGCGGTATATAAATAAAAACTTACTTACTTACTTACTTACAGCCAAGTCATCCGGCCAATCGGCTTCCAGTACAAGGTCTGAGTCTGTGCCTTTGATGACATATATATATATATATTAGTGCTGTCCAAAATATTGCGTTATTAACGCGTTAACGCAAATCAATATTAACGGCGTCATTTTTTTTATCGCGCAATTAAAAAAAAAATAATAATAATAAATACTTTTACTTTTTAACTTTTTATTGCAGACAAACACATATACAGAAAAAAAAATAGAAACAAAGAAAAGGACTAGTTCAGATACATTGTAGACAGAGATTACAAACAATATGTAGTTGGAGATACAGGGGGCCAAAGGAAACCCAGAAGGGCACATAGGAGGGGGGGGGGGGGGACATGAAGTGGGAGATGGGGGGGAGGGGTTAATAAAAAAGGCAAAACAAGCAAACAGTATACAGTCATAGATATACCGAAAGTAAACAGAGAAACAGCATAGAGTATTTACATGAACAAATTTACAAAATATTAAAAAAAGCAATTGCACACAGCACGCCTTTTCACTTTTTAGTAGTATTAAAATGATAATTCAAGGGACATAAAGAATAGATACAAATGTGTGACTAATTTGCGATTAATTGCGAGTTAACTATGAAATTCATGCGATTAATCGCGATTAAATATTTTAATCGTTGGACAGCACTAATATATATATATATATATATATATATATTCGTTTATTCTTCGGCCATCAGCAGAAAATAAGACAACATTTGACATTCACAAATTATAAATTATATACTGACCGAAAGGGTTGAAGTTTAACTCTTATTTCGCCTAACCCATATTAACAAATAACAAAATTACATTTCTTACTTATACAAATGTAACAAAATTATATACAATGTAGCGGGTCCACAGAGCTTACAGTATTTCCAAATACAATTTTCATTGTAAGAAAATAAATAGTTCGTACTAATTCAAATAAATATTCCTTGTAATCACATTATATACATAAACACAGAATATGACATATATATACATATATATATATATATATATATATATATATATAATTTTTATTTTATTGTATTATTATTATTTATTTATTTTAATTTTCTTCCTTTTATGTATATAATATACATATATCTACAGTGCCTTGCGAAAGTATTCGGCCCCCTTGAACCTTTCAACATTTCGCCACATTAAAGGCTTCAAACATAAAGATATAAAAATGTAATTTTTTGTCATGAATCAACAACAAGTGGGACACAATCGTGAAGTGGAACGAAATTTATTGGATAATTTAAACTTCTTTAACAAATAAAAAACTAAAAAGTGGGGCGTGCAATATTATTCGGCCCCTTTACTTTCAGTGCAGCAAACTCACTCCAGAAGTTCAGTGAGGATCTTTGAATGATCCAATGGCGTCCTAAATGACTGATGATGATAAATAGAATGCACCTGTGTGTAATCAAGTCTCCGTATAAATGCACCTGCTCTTTGATAGTCTCAGGGTTCTTTTTTAAAGTGCAGAGAGAACCATGAAGACAAAGGAACACACCAGGCAGGTCCGAGATACTGTTGTGGAGAAGTTTAAAGCCGGATTTGGATACAAAAAGATTTCCCAAGCTTTAAACATCTCAAGGAGCACTGTGCAAGCAATTATATTGAAATGGAAGGAGTATCAGACCACTGCAAATCTACCAAGACCCGGCCGTCCCTCCAAACTTTCATCTCAAACAAGGAGAAGACTGATCAGAGCTGCAGCCAAGAGGCCCATGATCACGCTGGATGAACTGCAGATAACTACAGCTGAGGTGGGAGAGTCTGTCCATAGGACAACAATCAGTCGTGCACTGCACAAATCTGGCCTTTATGGAAGAGTGGCAAGAAGAAAGCCATTTCTCAAAGATATCCATAAAAAGTCTTGTTTAAAGTTTGCCACAAGCCACCTGGGAGACACACCAAACATGTGGAAGAAGGTGCTCTGGTCAGATGAAACCAAAATCAAACTTTTTGGCCACAATGCAAAACTATATGTTTGGTGTGAAAGCAACACAGCTCATCACCCTGAACACACCATCCCCACTGTCAAACATGGTGGTGGCAGCATCATGCTTTGGGCCTGCTTTTCTTCAGCAGGGACAGGGAAGATGGCTAAAATTGATGGGAAGATGGATGGAGCCAAATACAGGACCATTCTGGAAGAAAACCTGTTGGAGTCTGCAAAAGACCTGAGACTGGGACGGAGATTTATCTTCCAACAGGACAATGATCCAAAACATAAAGCCAAATCTACAATGGAATGGTTCACAAATAGACGTATCCAGGTGTTAGAATGGCCAAGTCAAAGTCCAGACCTGAATCCAATCGAGAATCTGTGGAAAGAGCTGAAGACTGCTGTTCACAAACGCTCTCCATCCAACCTCACTGAGCTCGAGCTGTTTTGCAAGGAAGAATGGGCAAGAATTCCAGTCTCTCGATGTGCAAAACTGATAGAGACATACCCCAAGCGACTTGCAGCTGTAATATCAGCAAAAGGTGGCGCTACAAAGTATTAGCGCAAGGGGGCCGAATAATATTGCACGCCCCACTTTTCAGTTTTTTATTTGTCAAAAAAGTTTAAATTATCCAATAAATGTCGTTCCACTTCACGATTGTGTCCCACTTGTTGTTGATTCTTTACAAAAAATGTAAATTTTATATCTTTATGTTTGAAGCCTGAAATGTGGCGAAATGTTGAAAGGTTTAAGTGGGCCGAATACTTTCGCAAGGCACTGTATACATGCATTTACATACACATACACACATTCATACATATACATATATATATATATATATACATACACACACATACAAACATACACCTATACCTGTACCTGCATACACACATTCACATATGCAGTGCACACATATCTATACATATACACAATATACACAGATATGTTTATTATTATTATAATTTATTAATTTATTTTTATATATATATATATATATATATATTTTTTAATATTGATAATATTTTACATGTACAATATATGTGTTATTATATTTATCATCATTACCATTATTATTATCATTATCACCACCATTACTACCACCATCATCATTGTTATTATTATTATTATTCTAGTGATTTATACTTTTCTTCAACAATAGCCTTAAAGCGCTTTTTAAATGTGTGAATTGAGGTGGAACATTTGAGTGGCTCATCCAGGCCATTCCAAAGATGAACCCCTCTGACAGAGATGCATCTACTTTTTAAACTGGTTCTCACATTTGGTTTCTTAAAGACATACACACCTCTTAATTCATAAGGACTCTCTCTAGGTTTGAACCTCTCCTGTATGCGCTGAGGGAGCAGGTGGTTATGGGCTTTGTACATGAAAATCGCAGTGTTTAGGTCAACAAGGTCATGAAATTTTAATGTTTTTAATTTGATGAAGAGGGCGTTTGTAGGAGCATAAAAATCTGCATAATTAACTATTCTGACAGCCTTCTTTTGGAGCAAAACAACTGATTGGACGTTGGCAATACATGCCACATACAATAACAACATAACCTAGCATCGTCCATGTACTGTATATAAAGTCTATGATTCATCTACATTTTCTGAATCTAAGGTTTGTGACTAATGCTAATCACTTCGCCATGCAAACCTTTGATAAATAAGTGTATTGTTGGAACATGGAGCAGTGAATGAGTGAATGATGATGTGATGTGTGTCCAGGGCGTGACTCTGTGGGAGCCGCCTCCGAACGGGCAGGGCCTGACCGCTCTGCTGCTGCTCAACATCCTGCTCAACTTCCCACTCAGAGGTCAGAAGGTCACCACTGTCTCTCTAGTCTCTCTTTGCTCACTCTGGTCTGTCCCTGGTCCCACTCATAGACTGTAAATATTAACGGACGTAGTTACGCCTATCTCGCCGTTCAAACTATCCATCCATCCATCCATCCATTTTCTACCCCTTAATCCATTTCCGGGTCGGGGTGGTGGCAGTCAGAGCTGCCACCCAAGTCACAGAGCACCTGCCCCTCACTGATCCTCTGCAGGTGGTGAGTCCACAGGAGGTCCGTTCAAACTAATGGGCCAAAAATTGTGCTCTACTGGAGCTATCCAAAATGGCTGCGAGTGGTCCCGACCACAAGAAAATTGTGAAAAAACGCATCTGCGCATGCGTCAGCCGGCGCGAGCTCCATTCATTTAGACGAATGCCTTCAAAAATTCACAGCGACTAAACCAGAGTGGTCCAAAAATATTCCCTCCCCTCAGCATTGATACACATGTGGAACGGAGCTTTGGGCCAAGAGCCAACGTTTGGACCATCCTGTAAAGACATTTTCAAGAGGTAAGAAGATGCTATATTAAGACCAGAAATTAGCATTAGCTAATTCTCATTCCGGGTCCACCCCCATCGGTCCGGGGCGGGTATTGCAAGCATGTCAGCGCACGTCATCGTGGCCACTTTCGAGCCGGAACCCGCCCCCACTGGTCCCACTCCAGTTTCTCTCTCTCTGGTCTCTCTCTGGTCTCTCTCTTATCTCTCTCTCTGGTCTCTATTTGTGGTCTCTCTCAGGTTTCTCTCTCCTTGTTCTCTCTCTTATCTCTCTCTCTTGTCCCTCTCTCTCTGATCTATCTCTGGTCTCTCTCCTTGTTCTCTCTCTGATCTCTATTCTTGCTCTCCCACTGATGTCTCTGCTCTCTTTCCTGTGTCTTTCTCTCATACACAAGGCACCTCAAAGTGCTGAAGAAAACAAGATCACACAAGGCATTAAAATCATGAATAATCACAGTGCATCAAAAAGAGAGAAGATACTATCCGTCTGTTGTTGAGAAACGTTTTTTTTGGTAGAAGTCTGTCTCACATTTTCAGGAAGACCATTTTCAGAAAGACTCATTAAACGTATACGCTGTGTATATACTCGAGATAAAGTAGTTTTGTATTGTTAGAGGTATGGTACCACATCACTACATAACAGATACCTCCCTGTCTCAGATCTGGGTCACAACAGCCCAGAGTACCTCCATGTTCTGACTGAGGCGGTGCGTCTGGCCCAGGCCGACGTCTTGACGGTCCTGGGAGACCCGGACCATGTGCAGGTTCCTGTGGAGGCCCTGCTTAAGCCGAGCTATGGGCACAAGAGAGCACAGAACATCAACATGCACAGGTGAGAGTAGAGATAGACCAGAGAGAGACCAGAGAGAGACCAGAGAGAGACCAGAGAGAGACCAGAGAGAGACCAGAGAGAGACCAGAGAGAGACCAGAGAGAGACCAGAGAGAGACCAGAGAGAGACCAGTGAGAGAGCCCAGAGAGACTAGTGAGAGAGAGACCACAGAGTGTCCAGAGGGAGAGTCCAGAGGGAGAGAGACCAAAGAGAGACCTGAGACAGAGACTTGAGACAGAGACCTGAGACAGAGACCTGAGACAGAGACCTGAGACAGAGACCTGAGACAGAGACCTGAGACAGAGACCTGAGACAGAGACCTGAGACAGAGACCTGAGACAGAGACCTGAGACAGAGACCTGAGACAGAGACCTGAGACAGAGACTTGAGACAGAGACCTGAGACAGGGACCTGAGACAGGGCCCAGAGTGAGGGACCAGAAAGAGGGATTAGAAAGAGAGCAGAGAGAAACCAGAAAGAGACCAGAGAGAGACCAGAGTGAGACCAGAGACAGCAGAGACAGAGACCAGAGACAGAGACCAGAGACCAGAGACCAGAGACAGAGACCAGAGAGTGTAGAGTACTGTAGACTTCATGTTGACAGTGATGACAGAGTTCCCTCAGTCGTTGCTCCTACTTTTCGGTGGTGGTTGCTCTCTGTGTTCTCTGTGGTGTCTGTTCTCTGTGTTCTCTGTGGTGTCTGTTCTCTGGGTTCTCTGTGGTGTCTGTTCTCTGGGTTCTCTGTGTTGTTTGCTCTCTATGGGACTTTGGACTCCATCTTTATCTGCTCTTAAACAAACAGAGACAGGAGCAGGCTTTAAACCGTGACAATCACAATCACAACACTCACTTCAAACTCAACTTTTACAAGCTTTTTTCTCTTTATAGGGATTTTACAACAGATTTAGACTGTGTTTATAACAGATTTATAGACAGATCTCAAACAGGATCATGTCAGAGGAGAAACTCGACTCGGAGTCAGAGCTGATATTTAGACTAAAAATCATCAGTCAGCGTTTTTAAATTGTATTGTGCCACATTTGTTATCTGTATAAAACTATGAGACTTGGACTGGACTTAGATTGGTCTCTCTCTGGTCTCTCTGCTCTCTCTCTCTCTGTTCTCTCTCTGGTCTCTCTCTGGCATCTCTCTGGTATCTCTCTCTAGTTTCTCTCACTCTGGTCTCTCTCTGGTTCTGTTTCTTTGATCTATCTCTCTCTTTCTGGTCTCTCTTTGGCTTCTCTCTCTGGCCTCTCTCTCTCTGGCTTCTCTCTGGTTTCTCTCACTCTGGTCTCTCTCTGGTTTTGTTTCTTTGATCTATCTCTCTCTCTTTCTGGCTTCTCTGTCTGGCCTCTCTCTCTGTTCTCTCTCTGATCTCTCTGGTCTAATTTATTTGGTAAATCTCTCTCTGGTTTCTCTCTGGTCTCTCTCTCTCTTGTCCCTCTAGTTTTACAGCTAAAAGCAAATTCAGCTTCCCGGATAATCCTTTAGGAAAGCACTTACAAACCTAGACATGTAAAGTAAAGTGTATGGTTGAAGTTTTGTACATGAAGAGAACCACACGACCCCCGTGTGTGTGTCTCGGTTTCCAGGGCGATGCCGGGTGTGGCGCCTGGCGTGCAGAGCGGCAGTGACACGGTTTTCTTCTGCGTGGTGGACGCAGAGGGAAACGCCTGCTCTTTTGTCAACAGTAACTACATGGGCTTCGGCTCCGGACTCGTACCTCCAGGGTGCGGCTTCTCTCTGCAGGTCAGACACTTCCGACACATCCGACCCCTGATGATGTCGCTGCTGTCTCAGAGTCTCATCCACAAACAAATGTGACGTCATTACATCTTTAGCAACATGTCAGTCAACCAATCAGAACAGAAGAACAGATACACAGTGAGAGAGAGACCAAAGAGAGAGACCAGAAAGAGACCAGAGAAAGACGAGAAAGAGACGAGAGACAGAGACTAGAGAAAGAGACCAGAGAGCGACTGGAGAGAGAGACCAGAGAGAAACCAGAGAGAGAGAGAGACCAGAGAGAGAAACTAGAGAGGGACAGAGAGAGAGGCTGGCGAGAGAGAGCAGTGAGACCAAAAAGAAAAACCAGAGAATTTGGAGAGAAACCAAAGAGAGACCAAAGAGAGAGCAGAGAGACATGCATATGAAAACTAGTGGCTAAATCAAACTGTTGTAGATCCAGAAACCCAGAAAATAGTGACACTTATGTTTTGTTTTGGACTTTGTTTAATTCTTCATGATTTAAAACTCGGGTCCCCCAGTTTTAATCACAACACATCAGTCTCCTGGTGTCTTCCTGTTTCTAGAATCGCGGCGCTAACTTCTCTCTTCGTCGCGGGCATCCAAACTGTATCGCGGGGGGAAAGCGTCCCTTCCACACCATCCTCTCTGCTCTGGTGACCGAGTCCAGCTCCGAGTCCAGCTCCGAGTCCAGCTCCCACCAGCTCCTGGGGGCCCTGGGAGTCATGGGGGGCTTCATGCAGCCTCAGGGACATGTGCAGGTATTGGAAACTTATGTACGATTGACAATAAACAATTCAGAGGATACAAAAATATGATGAGGCAAGTTTATTTGTATAGAATACCAATAAACACATGCACAAGGCAAGTAAAAGTCATGGATCCTCAGTCCTGTATCTACAGCGAAGAGAGAGAGAGAGAGAGAGAGACTAGAGAGAGAGAGAGAGAGAGAGAGAGACTAGAGAGGAGAGAAACTAGAGAGGAGAGAAACTAGAGAGAGACTATAGAGAGACTAGAGAGAGGGTAGAGAGGAGAGAAACCAGAGAGAGACTAGAGACTAGAGAGAGACTAGAGAGAGACTAGAGAGAGACTAGAGAGAGACTAGAGAGAGACTAGAGAGAGACTAGAGAGGAGAGAAACCAGAGAGAGACCATGGAGAGGGCAGAAAGAGAGACCAGAGATACCAGATAGAAAACAGTGTTTTTCAAAATGCCCTCCCACTTGTATTCAGTGAACTCTCAGTCTTTTGTGTCCAGGTTTTGTTGAACATGTTGGAGTTTGGGATGAATCCGCAGCAGGCTCTCGATGCTCCTCGATTCTATGCCCACAACGACCAAACGAGTGAGGCACGCACACACACATGCTAGCAGCAGGAAATAAGACTTTATAACACATACTCTGCCATAAAATCCATTTATACCTGGATTAATGATTGAACCACATTGTGTTGACTGTGTCTTATCACACAGCCACAAGTTCCTCTAACAGAACACTCACCTGCATTTCAGCGTTTATGTATGTAATACGTTATATCTGTATGAAACCTGCTCTCTCTGTCTGGTTTATCTCTGGTCTCTCTCTGGTCTCTCTCCCTGGTCTCTCTCTCTAGTCTCTCTCTGGTCTCTCTCTCTAGTCTCTCTCTGGTCTCTCTCTCTAGTCTCTCTCTGGTCTCTCTCTCTAGTCTCTCTCTGGTCTCTCCCTGGTCTCTCTCTGGACTCTCTCTAGTCTCTCTCTGTGAGTTAAGCAATATTGTTGTATAATATTGTAAACAAGGCTTTCATAGGGACTAAAATCAAACTAAATTGAGCTGAATGAGCTGAAGAGGACTGTCAAACATGGGAGAGGAGGCAGAGCAGGACAACAGCGCTCCCTTGTGGTCATCAGAGTCTGTCTGTAGCAGTAGAATGTCCTTCTCCACTTAAGTCCCTAGATTGGGGGAGTTTGATTAAGAATGCAATGATTGTATACAGCGCTTTCTTGGAATCCCCAAGGCGCTTCACATGGTTTCATTATTATTTATTATTTTCTTTCCGGCGAAAGGATTTGATTTTTGACCCTGAAGACATGCACGAGTGTTGGCACATGGGGGGGTCTAATGCAACCTTTTGGGCAAAAAATTGCATAAAATGAACGTTTAAAAATTGTCCGACGCATGTGTCTCTATATCAAATTTCAAATTTACAAAGCCGATGGGAGCCAGGCATGCATATTTTAGAACACAACAACAGTTTGCCGTCCCACTGTGGCAGTGGTGGCAGCACATGGAGTTACAGGGAGCTCTGACTGCAGATGCTGCTCCCTCTGGTGGCAGCCCAGGGAGTTACAGGGATATTCCACACTCTTTCACATTCTAAATTATAAAATGACAAAGTAAATAATGTGTGATATTTCTTCTTTAAATTAGTTTTGTTGTTGTTGTTGTTGCAGAGGATCAGTGGACAGTGAGTTTGGAAGAAGGCATCGATGCAGAGGTCGCAGAGAAACTGCGGGGGAAGGGCCACACGGTCATCCACCCAGTGACTGGTGATACACACACACACACACACACACACACACACACATACACACACAGAGAGGTCCAGGACTTTACAAAAGTTAATATTCTCATGTTGGAGGTGTCTAAATCACTGCTTATTTACATGTGGTCTTCATTAGTTTGTGACTTTCTCTGTTTCTATGTAATTTATCTCTGTCATATTAATATAATTTTTGTATGAAAAGATCTTTTGTGTTTTGAAAGGTGAATAGTTCTACCTTTAACTAAATTTCAAATGTGACCATTCTCGTTCGCCTGGTAACAAACATTCTATGGCAAATAAGGTCCTGGTCCGGGTCTGGTCCTCGTCCTAGTTCAGTTTTGTTTTCCACTAGGGCAGAACCAGTGATAGTTACCATAGCAACACACTGTTCACTATCAGCATTAGCCATTCACCAAACTTTTGTTGCTATATTTCAGGGATTTTCACCAGTGTCAGGCCCCGTTTATACAGAGATGCTGCGACTGTAAAACGTTTGCGTTGGGTATCGGTTTGGTCTCCAGTTTACATTGAGACGTTGTTTCAGGTGAAACCACAGTGTTTAGAACCAGCCTCCAGAGTGGAACAAAACCCATACGCTGCTCAGCGGCGGCTGTTTCATAGCGGCATGAAGAAAAAGATGTGAAATCTCTGCCAGCTATGACCTCCCCACTTCCCTGCACGTACATTTGGACATTTGGAAGCCGAGAACAAACATAAACAACAATGGCAGCGGGTACTGTGTCGTTTTTGCTAATTGCTTTAGGGCGTTTCTGCAGCGCCTCGGTATAAACGGGGCCTTAGCTCTTAGTGAAAGGGATTGTATGTAAAACCTTATAAATCACTAACTTTTACCACTCTCACAGTTATTATAGATCCTGTGTTTATACGCTCTTCTCTTTGCTCTCAGGTCACAAGAGGTCTCAGTTTGGGCGTGGCCAGATCATCACTGTGGGCGACTGGTGGAACCAGTCTGCCAATCAAAGCAGTCGTCCAATCAGGAGAGTGCTGTGGGCGGGATCAGACCCCCGCGCTGATGGGTGTGCTCAGGGGTTTTAGAATCAACGTGGTTTTATACAGTTCATGTGGGAGACCCTCCCCCTCTCATGGCACTCTGGGTAGAATCCGTCTGTCGCAGCTTCGACTGAAGATCTTCTTTGCCTTTTTAAATACATGATTCACTCCAATTGGCAATCTGTAGATTACATGAATGTTTTATTGAGTTTTTTCTCAAATTGGGTGTGAAACCATAAACAGTACACCGATGGACAATGCTAGCGCACTCTCAATGCAGCCCCATAGGGAAGTGCTCATGGTGAAGTTTGGCTTCATCTCTCTGGCTCCTATTGACTCACATGTAAAAGTAAACTCCTCTAGCTCAGTAACCGTTTGTGCCACACTCACCATTTTGGGCTTAAATCTGTGGTTTAAAGCTCTCTGTGATACTGTCTCTGTAACTCAACTGACCAATTAGGAGCCTTCACTCGTCAAATTCAGCTTTTGCAGTGAGTACTAGCGCGAGAGGACGGACTGGCACTTCTTTGTGTCTGTATGTCTTCATACTCCTCTACATGATCACAAATGTTTGTTGTGACAATATTCAGACCATATTTTGGTACAGTGCCTTGCTATCTCTGGTCTCTCTCTGGTCTAAACTTTTAAACAATAAACACAGCAGCTCTCTGGTCCTAGTCTTCTTCTTATATACACTCTCTGGTTGTTAGCGTATGAGAAATGGTTACACATTTTTGTTCAAAGTTTAATACAATCTCTGGTCTTGAAACATTTCTCACATGTTCTGGTCATAAACATGTTCTCAGAAGTTTGGATTCTGCAAATATCGTTCTCATTCATTGGGAAAATAGTATTTACATTAAATGAGCTTTCAGGTGATCTGCTTAATCCTGGAACAGAGCAGTGTTTCACCAGAGATTGTTTTATAATCTTCTAATCCCACTGCCACTCTGGTTGTTTGGCACAAAATGGAGGTAAATGTGACGCTAAAATACATTTGTCATTTTGCCAACAGACTGTGGTCACATATGCTGTTACTACTTTTATATTATACATTTTTTAAATATATTATATTTTTTACCTACACATTTTTCTTACATACATAGATCAATCTAACAGACAAATAAGTACATGATTCAAAAAGGGAGTGGATTCTAATTTGATTTCAAACTCTGTCATACACACACACACACACACTGATAAAGAGACACAGATAGACACACATGCAAACAGAGATACCCAAAGACACTTGCACACACACACACACACACACACTGCTATAATAACATCATGGAGTAGAAATTCCAAAACACACAACTGTACAGTACAGTACATGACATTACCACATATGGTACAAGACAAACAAAACGAAACACACACACTCTGACAACACACATGCCCAAACACTCTCCGACCCCACACCTCTCTCCCACTACTCGAGAGTAGTAGAAATTCAGGTGTCCAGCAGCAGAAGACATCCAGGTTTGTGTTACAGTCTGACAGCCGAAGGAACAAAGGATCTCTTGAAACGTTCCGTTCGGCAGCGTAGTGATAGGAGCCTGTTGCTTCGATTACTCCTCTGAGCGACCGTAGTGTCACGCAGAGGATGTCTGTAGTTACCCAGGATGCACTGCATTAGAGCCCTCATCCTCATCCTCTAATAACAGGGCCTGTGTGGAGTAGACCTACAACATCTTTGCCGGCATTGAATTTTACAAAACATTCCTCTTGCTCCGGCTTCAATTTCTTGATATTTGGAGCTGAACCAGAACGGATGACTTTACTATCGCATTCGTCGCCATTGCCAAACTACAACCAGCAAATTCGTCTAAACTCTTGACGTCACCGACACCTACCTACAACACCCGCCTCCCGCACTCGCTGAATGGTCGGAGGGGATTCAACCGAGGTAACCACAGACACTAGGATCAGACCCAGACGCACATGTGGGAAATGTTAATTGACGGATGGCTAAGGCCAGGCTAGGAGAATACCAGATTTGATCATGTATTTGACAGGACTTTTACTGTTATTCTTTTATTTTAAGTCAGTTCAATTCAATGTATTTGTATATCGTCCTAAATCACTACAGTGTCGTCTTGGAGGATTTTACAAAGTTGTGGATTCGAACACAGGAAATGCAATAATATCAAACACATAGAGTCATTGGTCCATATGAGGAGAAATGTTCATAAATGTCCGGATCATCACTGTTCTTGGACATTAGTATCGGCAAGGAATGAGTCAAAAGCAACTTCAGATTGACTTCAGGAGATGAGATAGTGATGCAGGACTGTCATTTAGAAGTCCTCTGTTTTCATCTGATGAAGCAGGAGAAAACATTGTGTTGGTGGGAGGGACCTGGATAAGCAGCTGTGGGAACTCACTCCCACAGGCGCAATATTCCACTGCTCCCTCTTTCCTCTTCCTCTGCACAGAGAAGGGGGGTCTGCGCTCTCTCTCTCTCTCTCTCTCTGCTGTCTCTGGTCTCTCTATCTCTCTGGTCTTTCTGTTCCCTCTTTGACTTTGGTCTCTCTGCTCTCTCTCCCTGCTTTCTCTCTCTCCACTCTTTCGGTTGTCTATCTCTTCACTCTCTCAGCTTTCTTTGCTCTCTCCCTCTCCACTCTCTCTGCTTTCTTTGCTCTCTCTCAGAGCTTTCCTTGCTCTCTCTCTCTCAGCTGTCTTTGCTCTCTCCCTCTCCACTCTCTCAGCTTTCTTCGCTCTCTCTCCCTCTCTCTGCTTTTTCCCTTCCCTTCTCTCCACTCTCCCCTCTCTCTTGCTCTCTCCACCCTCCCTCCCCCTTCCTCCTCTCTCTCTGTTGTCTCTCTCTCCGCTCTCAGCTTTCTTTGCTCTCTCTCTCTCTTTCTCTCTCAACTCTCTCCCTCTCAGCTTTCCTTGCTCTCTCTCTCTCTCTCAACTCTCTCCCTCTCCACTCTCTCAGCTTTCCTTGCTCTCTCTCTCTCGCTCTCTCTCTCAACTCTCTCCCTCTCCACTCTCTCAGCTTTCTTTGCTCTCTCTCTCTCTCAACTCTCTTTCTCTCCACTCTCTCAGCTTTCTTTGCTCTCTCTCTCTCTATCTCTCTCTCAACTCTCTCCCTCTCCACTCTCTCAGCTTTCCTTGCTCGCTCTCTCTCTCTCTCAACTCTCTCCCTCTCAGCTTTCCTTGCTCTCTCTCTCTCTCTCAACTCTCTCCCTCTCCACTCTCTCAGCTTTCCTTGCTCTCTCTCTCGCTCTCTCTCTCAACTCTCTCCCTCTCCACTCTCTCAGCTTTCTTTGCTCTCTCTCTCTCTCTCAACTCTCTCTCTCTCCACTCTCTCAGCTTTCCTTGCTCGCTCTCTCTCTCTCTCAACTCTCTCCCTCTCAGCTTTCCTTGCTCTCTCTCTCTCTCTCAACTCTCTCCCTCTCCACTCTCTCAGCTTTCCTTGCTCTCTCTCTCTCTCTCTCTCTGCTTTCCCCCCTATCCACTCTCTTTTGCTCTCTCCACCCTCCCTCCACTTCCTCCTCTACCCTCTCTCTCTCCACCCTCTCCACTCGCTCTGGTCCTTCTCCCACCACTCGCTTGGACTCTAAGCCCCAGACATGTGCTGCTCTGTGGGGTTCGCTCGCTCGCTGGGCCTGGCTCTGGTGCCTCTGGCCGTGTGCTCCATCGTGGCTAACCTCCTGCTGCTGTTTCCCATGGGGGAGACCCAGTACCTGCAGGAGGACCGGCTCGCCCAGTACGTCTGGTACTTTGGAGGACTGGGAGGTGGAGGAGTGCTGGTGAGTGAACACATCCATTGCAAACATGTCAAAGTCTGTTTCTATAGCAGCAGTAAAGCTGAAAGACCCTATAGATGTGTTTTTGTTAATTGTAAGGCAACTTTCACATAAGTTTATATTAGCATTTATTTTATATATCTCAGACTGTGTCATTCCAAGAGGCTCAGTTATTGTATCTTCTTTAAAACAAGAACATTTTGCTTTGTCCCATTGGCAAATCTTGTTTTAAGCCAATCAAAATGTGCTCAACTAACCCAGGATACAGTTAGCAATATTTGAGTATTTTTTTAATACTTATTTTTCATCACTTTTTGCAGTGTGTGTGTGTACTTAATGTCACATACTTATCTGGGTGGTGGAAACAGGGCTTTTTGGTTGTTTCTGATAAGATACAGACAGAACATATTGGTCTGAATCTTTCACAAATCACAATGTTTTTTATTTATGATAGAAAACCATCTGTAAACAAACTGTAGAAGGTTGGCGCTGTGAAACAACAAGGGAACACTTGATTCAGCACTGGAGAGAAATGTCAGTGTTGCAGCGCACAGAACCAAACAGAAGAAACAACAGGAACTATCTTTATGGAGCAATTTTTATACATACACTTTAACTGAGGCATAAAACTATATATACTAGAGATGCACTGATACCACAAACTCTTACCATAGAACCCGATGCGGCCAACCGATTCCCACATTGTTCATTTACATTTGCCTCACGACAGCAGACAGCGAGAAAGTGCTTGCCGCTGGCTTAGCTTAGCGGCAAGCGAACAAGCCAACAAGATAAATGAGAGTGTCATGTGTAAATCAGAATGTACAGTGTGTAAGGCAAAACTGTCATGAGGTGGGTCCAAAACAAACATGTATAACACCAGCAACTTGATCGAACATCGGAAAACTCACCAACACGCGCTACACCACCTTTGCTAGCACCGGATCAATATAATTGTTCTATCGGAGTGGAATATGACAGTGGCTCTTATTGTTGACTCTTAAAACATTCGCTATAATGTTTAATTACTAAAGCATTTTTCAATTAATTTTAAGAATTCCCACACAATGCAGTACTCGTATCGGTTTTGAAAAAAGTGGTATCGGTGCATCTCTAATAAATACATTGTACAATTTAGTAGAATATTTTTTTCACTGGTTTGAAGACGTTTAAGGAGGGGCACCAGGGTTTTTCTCAAGGAGGAGCGCTGGAACTTGATACAAGAAATTTATGTTCGGAAATGTTTGTGTGAAGTCAGGTCTCTGTATAGAAAGTGTCCTCAGGAATGAGGCTGTGACTTTGGCGACATAAGAGCTATCATATGTTTTTCACAGCAGTCTTTGGTCTCTCTATGAGTGAGAGAGGATTGCCCTGGCAAGAGTGGTTTATGTATTTATGTATTTATTAGCATTTGTAGCATGCCTTTAGTCTACTTTTTCACTTTTCTATAACTTGTTTGCAATGTGAGCCAAAGCAAACTCTTGGTGTGTGGCTTCCTGTTTTTTCCAATGGCAATAAAAACAAGTTTAATTAATCTAAAACAGGGCTCCCCAACCATGAAGTAGCGCCCCAAAGGATTAACCACAATACTATTATTGTACTATTGTAAATACCTGCTTTGTGTTTCATGATGCAACAATTATACAGCATTAAAAGACAAAAAAAAAAGTCAGAAATTGCCATCCATCCATTTCCTTTCGCTTTATCCGTTGCCGGGTCACAGGGGCAGCAGTCTGAGCAGAGACGCCCCGACTCCCCTCTCCACACACACTTCCTCCAGCTCTTCCCGGTCTCTCCCTGGTAACTTCTCTCTGTTCTCTCTCTGGTCTCTACATGTTCTCTCTCTGGTCTCTCTCTCTGGTCTCTCTTGTCTCTCCCTGGTCTCTCTTTGCTCTCTCTCTCTGGTCTCTATATGTTCTCTCTCTGGTCTCTCTTTGCTCTCTCTCTCTAGTCCCTCTCTCTGGTCTCTCTTTGCTCTCTCTCTCTGGTCTCTATATGTTCTCTCTCTGGTCTCTCTTTGCTCTCTCTCTCTGGTCTCTCTCTCAAGTCTCCCTTGTCTCTATGGTCTCTCTGGTCCCTGCCTTTTTCTCTGCCTGGTCTCCCTGGTCTCTCCGTGATCTCTCTAATCTCCCCCTTGTCTCTCCCTGGGCTATCTGGTCTTTCTCTGGTCTATATACATATAATGGTTGCTGCGTATAGCACAAATACACCAAGTATCTCTTTGGAGTCAAAAGGTTGGAGGGTTCTACAGAAAACTGGGTGGTGTTGTTGTACATTCTTCTATCCACACACATGACCCCACTTCCTGTTGGATCCAGTAGTAACCTCACTTCCTGTTGGATCCTGGAGAGCTTTCATTAGATTTCTACTCAACGTTCGAATACGTGACACAAAGAAACCTCCAAATGAATGGGAGGAAACAAGCCCAACTCCAGCTGGTGAGGAGGAAGTGCTGCTTTTCCACTGGGTCAGAGATGACACATGAAGGACTGAGGCGAGGGGCGTACGGTCACGATACAGGATGCACCGATACCGATACTGGTATTGGGTCAATACCATAGGACCTGATACCCGCAGCCGATACCCACATTTTTAAATTTACATTATCGTAACGACAGCAGACAGCTGTGTTGTTATGGTGATCTCCCAAAGTCTGCAGCAAGAAATCCACTACCATAGCCCGCTTGCCGCTAAGCTGTCGGCCGTATAGCAGTTTTTAAAGTAAACCAGTGACAAGAATAAAGCAGACTGCACGTTGTGTAACACAAAACTGTCACGAGGTGGGTCCAAAACAAACACGTATAACGCCAGCAACTTGATCAAACATTATAGATTATCATTATCAATATATGAATAAAAAACACATATTATTTTATCATAATTCTTGCTGTTTTGGGATTTTTCAGCAGAACAATGTTACGACCCGCTGAGATGGACACCTCCCAAGTATGAGGTCATTGAGGAAACAGGGCAGAGCTCACGTGGAGACCGGGAACTTCCCTTTTGACAAAACATTCAGAAAAGCGGATTGTAACAACTGTAGGGACTGAAGTGATACCTTTTATCATTATGTCTTGTGACATCACAATTCTCCAAAGAGCCAATAGTTTTGCCCCTCTGTGGGGCAAATGAAGGATCTTTTAATCTTAATTTTAATGTGGTGGAGGGCAGCCAAAAAGGGGACATAGAATTCTACATTCTTTCTGGTCTCTCCCTGGTGTCTCTGACCTCTCTCTGGGCTCTTCCTGGTCTCTGTGGTCTCTCTGGTCTCAGACTTCGCAACTTCACTGGCAGATGCTGCTTGTTGTTTGTGAACAATGGGAGGATCTTTGTTTACGTCCGTGTGCGCCACATGCGGAGTGGCAAGGAGACAGAGCGGCACATACTGAAGCATGGATACGACGAGTATCAGTGGGCGAAGAGCACTGTAAATAAGCACTTTAACGCAAGAAGATCAGAGAAGATATAAAGACAAGCTAAGAATAATTATATGAGACCGAACTGAACAAATCCAAATCCCATCTGAGACTTGGGATGATGAGAAAAAACATTGGTCAGACTCGCCTCTGCTGCGAAACATTTATTCTTACCTCATAGAAAATCCGGGACCCTTCACGCAAGAAGGGTCCGTAGTGAAAACCATTTCCCGCGTTTTCCACCGCAGTAAAGTTGCCGGACTTTTTTGCCATCGTGGTAAAGTGGTCCGCACATTAAAATTGCCCTTTTATGCTGTTACTTACTGTAAATGTGGAAAAAGGAAGCAACCAAAATACCAAAACAAAATTCATCTTCACAGTGAAAGTACTTGCAAAACTTAGTTTTTTAAAACGATTGTTTATCCCCTAATCCACCGGCTTCCCTGTCTACGTTTACCGTAGGTAACAACATAAAAGCCCATCCCTATTTTAATGTGCCGACCACTTTACCGTGGCCGTTTTTCACAGTTCTTTTCCAAAGGAGTTTGATAAAAAACTTAATCTGTCCCCAGCGGGCCGTACAACCGACCACAAAACAAGAATGGACCATTTGATTTAGTAAAACCTCTCTCCAAACGTCTAAAACTGGCTAACTCTATAGCATCCAGGTGGCTTTCTATGCTGTTTTGCCAACTGGTCACGTGACCGGCGCGGCAGAACTATAAACAACAATGTCACTCCAAGATCCTCCTATACAGGAGTGGGTGTGTAATCGCTCGCCTCCACAGCTCTAACGACCTAAAGACAGAGGAGAAAGACCAGAGAGCGGAGTGTCCAGTAAACCCTGGAAGACAAGCACAGTGACTATCGGCTCAGAACAGAAACTGGCCTCCTCCTGGGACTCCTATACCTTTAACTCCATTCATTTGATTGTAGAATTACTTGCTAGCAGTCACCAGTCAGTAGCATTTATTTCAGTTAGCATTCGGTAGTATTCAGATCATTTAGCATTCGGTAGCATTCAGATCATTTAGCATTCGGTAGTATTCAGATCATTTAGCATTCGGTAGCATTCAGATCATTTAGAATTAAGGAGCATTTACTTCAGCAAGAATTCCCGTGGTAATGCATACTAAATAAGACAAACTCTGATTGTTTGGCTCCGGCTCTGACTCCGCACTGATCAGCAACACTGATTGGTCAGAGCACAGCCGTGCCCCTCTGTGCACGTGCATGAGAGAGCCACACACACGTACTTGGCGCCAAGCATCACGGGAGCTCGTCCACCGTGCAGAACCAGGAGGACCAGAGAAATGACCAAATATGGGTGGGCTCCGCTAATCTTTCAGTGCCCATGGTGGTCCCATGCGCCACTGAGCACAAGCCAATGATTTAAACACACCGCCATCTTGGATCACCGGGGCTTGGTGAGTAGTTTCCGGTAGAAGCAGCATGAAGCAGATGTTATGATACTGACATATCCGGCTGTGATGTCAGTGAAAACATAGTTCTCTACACTCCTGGTAGAATGCGCTGCAAGTAACAGAGGTGGGCAGTAATGTCCACAGGTCATTCTAAGCCATGAGCGAATTGCCTTTTGTCAGTAATTTTTGCCTGCACGATTCCAATTCTACTTTTTAACATTGGGTCTCTCTTGTACAACTCTGACAGAGCTTTCAATAAGACAAAAGTGTAAAGAAGCTAGTCCTGTTTAGTTCATTTATGGAATACAGTTGTGTGTGAAACAGACTTGGGAACCAGGAAATGTCCAAACCAGAAGCTTCAGAAGTGTTGATCCCCGGAAACCAGTGAAACTGAAACGCAGGTGTTTGGAACAGACTGGAAAACTATCTGTGGAAAAGTTTGTTTGTTTTCAACGGAATCTGAGAAACACACAATTTACTGTCACTGTGTAATTGTTTTATGGTCACAGTTCAAACAGATGTCTCCAAGAAGTCTATCTTTAGAGCAACTTCCTCTCCCCTCTGTCCTCCCCCCTTCCTCCCTCCATCTTCCCCTCCTCACTTCCTCTTGTCCACTTAAAAGCACAAGTGATCACCAGTTTTGTTTTGAACAAAAAAGACAGAAATGTGTATTACCCTAAATCAATTACAAAGTTGTGGATTCCTAACTAACAGATCAGAGAATCAAACAGGAAATGCAGTAACAACAAATACATCAGAGCCTTTGGTCCATAGGGAGCGGGAAGACAACTGCCCAGAAATGTTCATAAATGTCCAGGATCATTGCTCTCCTCAGACCCTCCATTTTCAGAGAGGAACCGCTCAGAAGCCCAGGACTATGGCTGTAGATCCAGGACTAAGGCTGTAGACCCAGGACTGCGGCTGTAAACCCAGGACTGAGGCTGTAGACCCAGGACTGATCCCGTAGATCCAGGATTGTGATTGGACGATGAACGCACTTCTATAATACACCCTAGAATCCACAGCTTTGTTAGTGGAAAGATTGCCTCTTTCTGGTCCCTCTCTCTGATCTCTCTGGTCTGTCTTCCCCTGGTCTCACTCTCTGACCTCACTTTGGTCTCTCTGATCTACTTTGCATCTGTGTTTTAAATTTATGGCTGTGCTTTGTTATGATTTATGTTTTATTTAGCAGGACTTTGGACATTATAATCTGGTAATAGAGGAAGTTAGACTGATAGGAAAAACGTGTTCATAGTTGTATATAACTAATGCTCTGTGGAGGAATTAAAGGACATGGCTATATTCTTGACATTAGCTTTATAATGAGGTATCGAGGTAGACAATGAGGTACCTGTCTATCTGTTCTATAAGTCTGGATGGTGAGACCCTGTGGTTGTTGCAGATGCTGATTCCTGCTGTGGTCTTCATCACTTTGGGGAAGTGTGACTGCTGCTGGAACGAGGGCCTCATGGTGAGAAACATGCAAATACACACAATGTTCATGCTCTGGTCCCTCTCTCTGGCCTCTCTCTCTTTTCTCTTTATCTGGTCTCTCTCTCTTTTCTCTTTATCTGGTCTCTCTCTCTTTTCTCTCCTCTAGTCTCTCTCTCTTGTCTCTCCCTCGAGTATCTCTCTCTTGTCTCTCCCTCTAGCCTCTCTCGCTTGTCTCTTCCCCTGGGTCTCTCTTCTCTCTCTGTCTGGCCTCTTTCTCTTGTCTCTCTGTCTAGTCTCTCTCTTGTCTCTCCGTCTAGTCTCTCTCTTGGCTCTCCCTCTAGTATCTCTTTCTTCTCTCTCTCTTTCTGGCCTCTTTCTTTTGTCTCTCCCCCTGGTCCCTCTCTCTGGCCCCTCTCTCTTTTATCTCCCTCTAGTATCTCTCTCTTGGCTCTCCCTCTAGTCTCTCTCTCTTCTCACTCCCTATAGCATCTCTCTCATGGCTCTCTCTCTTGTCTCTCCCTCAAGTTTCTCTCTCTTGGCTCTCCCTCTAGTCTCTCTCGCGTGTCTCTTCCTCTGGTCTCTCTCTCTTCTCTCTCTCTCTTGCCTCTTTCGCTTGTCTCTCTCTCCAGTCTCTCTTTGGACTCTCTCTGGTCACTCTCTTGTCTCTCTATACTGGATGGATAAAGTATTTTGTGTTTTGTGAATTTGAATGTGCGTGGACAGGGCCTTAGTATCCCTCCATAGTAAACAACAAATGACAAATGGTAATTGTTTGAAGTAAACAGAAGTTGTAATATATAATAATGCATCCAAACAGTAAATCGTGAGCGTATGTTTCCCTCTGGACCTCTAAATGCTGGTTGTTGTTCCACAGTCCCTCAGACTTCCCCCTTGAGCCTCTCCTCATTAGCTGCAGCGTTTGGAGCTGAATGATAATCCTCTTTTCACACAGACGTCTCTTTGTTTGCTCACACTCCCAAAGTCCAGCTGCGGAGACTGTGTGCGTCTGTCCCTGCCGCAGACTCAACACACGCACAACAAGTACTTCATGAAGTCCTGCTCTGGTTCAGGACCTCTGTGTTTGTTCATTGTTCGGACCAAAATCCAAGAACCTCTTTCTCCCACTCTGAGTATTCCTCTCTGATTGTTAGCATTTGTGGACATCCCGCTCCCTATGGACTGATGGCTCTTATGTGTTTGTTATTACTGCATACAGTATCTTGTGTTTCGAACTGTTTCTCTGATCTGTTGTTGGGGAATCCACAGCTTCGAGATGACAGCTGTTGTGAAATTTCCTCATTGTGAGACGAATAACGGACCTTCATCTTCTTCTTAGTGGAAGACACAAATACATACAAATTGAAGGAAAGGTTTAGAGTAGACAAAAATGTACTTACGTTACAGCTAATTATTGTGTTTGCGTGTGGTTGTGTGTGTGTGTGTGTGTGTGTAGATGTGTGGCTCGGTCCTGGCTGCAGTCCTCGGTCTCCTTGGAGCTGGTTACTCCTTCGTCGTCGCTGGTTTTGCTTTGGTCCAAGGTCCTCTGTGTTTCACCAGTCTGGGATGGACCTACGCCTTTGAGGACCAGAGCGGCAGGTAACACGAATACACTGAATGGAGTTAACCCCATTGCACCCTGGGTCACAAATATTCAAGTTCAAAGGTTATGGCTAAAGAAGTATGACTTTTTTGGTCAAATTGATTAACTAATGTATGTACCCGAGATCCCAGAGAAGCTAATATGCTACATTGCTACATTACCATATTTGGTCTTTGAATACTGCTTTACAAAAATAGCACAGATAATTCATGTTTTATAATTATATTTTTATGTCTGTGTATAGGAGTACTTTTTCTCTGTGTGGGACTGTTCTCATTGGCCTGTGTGCGTGTGTACGTATGTGTGTCTGTCTGTGTGAGAGAGTGTTTGTCTCTGTGTGTGTTTCTGACTCTATATGTGTGTGTGTGTCTGTGTGTGTGTCTCCATGTGTGAGTGAGTGTTTGTCTCTGTGTGTCTCAGTCTTTGTGTGTGTCTCTGTGTATATCTCTGGGTGTGTGAGTGTATATGTGTGTGCGTGGGTGTTTCTGACTCTCTCTCTGTGTGTGTGTGTGTGTGTCAGGTACCTGCTGGAGCCGGAGTCCTGGTCCCAGTGTCTTCAGCCTCAGAACATTGTGGAGTGGACGGTGACGCTGCAGTGTGTGCTGCTGGGTCTGTCCGTCCTGGAGGTCGTTGTGTGTCTGTGTCAGATCGGAAACGGTTTGGTGAACGCCGTGTGCCGCCCCTGTTGCTACAAACAGGAGTACAGCCTCAGTGCATAGACCTGCCCTGGTCCACCCTAGTCTACTCTGGTCCACCTTCGTCTACCCTGGTCTACCTGGGTCTGCCATGGTCCACCTTGGTTCATCCTTGTCCAACCTGGCCTTCTCTGGTTTACTGCTCTGGTCTTGTCTCCCTCTCTGCTCTCTGCTCTCTCGCACTGGTCTCTCTGGTCTTTCTCTGGGACAGGAAAGAGACCTCAAAAAGATAAGAGATGAGGTCACAAAATAAAAATACTAAATAAATTAAATGAAGTGCAAAATAAAAATCCAGAATATGACAATCTTTTAAGACACTAAGTAAAGAATCTCGTCTTGCAACTTTAAACCTTTCGCCTAAAATATAATGACGACATAATTCACTTTGTTCATTTCGGGAAAAATACTGCACATACAACACAATTATTAGGCAAGACACTTCACCCACAGTAGAATGAGTTGTATGTGTGTATATGTATGTGTGTGTATGTATGTGTGTGTGTGTATGTGTGTGTGTGTGTGTGTGTGTGTGTGAATGGTTGGTGGTGGTGGGAGGGGCTGATGGCACAGACTGGTTGCCTCACTTCTGTCAGTGTGCCCCAGGGCAGCTGTGGCTTTTAGTTTCTCACCAGAGAGTGTGGAGTGAATGAAAAATGGCGGGTGTCCAAAAAAGCACTGTATAAAACTAACTCAGTATTATTATTATTATTATTATTATTATTATTATTATTATCTTTAATTGTACACCGACCAACAACAGCTGCAGAGAAATCATGAATACTTGGAGCTCACAGAGATGTACAGATGAAATACAAAGGATTTAAATGTGAAAAAGTTTGTTCTCAGCCTGATTTTAGTCAAAAGCTTTTGTTGTTGTCTCTTTGGCCAATAGCATTTTAATTGACTTTTCTTTTGAAACTTTATCTTTTACACATTGTTCCGTGTCTTTGTACATTCTTTTTAAAAATAGATGTTTTCAGTATTTAGGAACATACTGTATTTTTATAATGTTTGTGTTGGATGTGAATAAAATGTGTATATTTCTGATGTTTTCGTCATTTTGGTTGAATCCTTTTTGTGTATAATTCAAAATCTCTCAGTATCTTTGGAGATGACTTCAAATTGTCGGCCATTTTGAATGTTCTGGAAACGGCAGCGAGTCCTGAGTCGCTCTGAAACGGTGGTTGTTTTGTATTTTTCAGTCGCTATTTTTCTTACTTTTTTTGTAAATGCAGAACAGTGCTCATGTTTTATACTTATCCAGAGCAGAGTAGAAAGGATGGTCCCAAAAAAGCAGATGAAGCAGAGATACACTGGAAGAATGTTTAAATACTAATAAAGCTTTCAGAATTTCGCTCTGAACCCGAGCAGAGAAAAAGGTCCAATTCAAGCAGACAGTGCAAACATCAACCAGAGGAAGCAGCTCATCACCAGCGGCCACACCACCTCTGCTGCTGTGACCAAAAGTACTATATGTCTACTTTTCTCTCTCGCTCTTGCTCTGTCTGTCTATAAACAGGAAGGAGGACCCCATAAACCACCAAATGTCTTGGAGGTTGGTGGTTCAAATCTCATTGCTTTTTCAAAAACAAGATAATTTTGCTTTCCCCATTGGCAAGATACATTTTGCCAAATTCGAGCAATTTATGACCCTCTCTGGTATATCTCTCTCCCTGGTCTCTCTCTCTCTGTCTGGTCTCTCGTCTCTCTCTGGTCTCTCTCTCTGTCTGGTCTCTCTCTCTGTCTGGTCTCTCTCTCTGTCTGGTCTCTGGTCTCTCTCTTTCTGTCTGGTCTCTTGTCTCTCTCAGGTCTCTCTCTCTCTCTGTCTGGTCTCTGGTCTCTCTCTGGTCTCTCTCTCTCTGTCTGGTCTCTGGTCTCTCTCTGGTCTCTCTCTCTCTCTCTAATTGCCATCACTTTCTGCAGTGATCAAACCAGCTCACAGTTCTTTACAGTCAGTGTGATGTAATACTTTCCCGGACTCACAATCTGTGTCATATTTACTCAAGAGGCGACTGAACTTCGAACTTGGAAAGTTTCGTCTGAGCCATAAACTGGAAATGAGCCTCACAGAAAATATTCCACATTAAAAACTTTAAGTCTTTTCACAGATCGGACCATGTGAGAATCCTCCTGTAGATCAGTTACAATATACAGTTTGTTTGTCCCTTGAGTCTTGGCTTCACCCTAAAAGTATTTAGAAATCTATATTGGTGGTGATGGGACCCTGAACCTGACCCTGGGATCAGTAACCCCTTCAGTCCTGGATCTACCTCTACAGGCTCTGGTCTCTTTCTTGTCTCTCTCTTGTCTCTCTCTGGTCTCTCTCTCTGGTCTATCTCTATGGTCTCTCTCGCTGGCCTCTCTCTCTGGTCTCTCTCTGGTCTCTTTATAGTCTCTCTGTGGTCGCTCTCTGGATTCATGGTCTCTCTGGTCTCTCAAAGTTTAAGTGTATTGTTTATTTGGTTGGAACAGTACATGTTAATGAACACATCTCTCCGGATTGTAGCCTTGGACTAATTTCCATCCGTCGTCCCACAGTCGCACTCACAACCACACACTCATTGACTCTGAATTATCGTACATATTTTTTGTCTCTGGTTTAGCTTTCTGGTCTCATGGCCTCTCTCTGGTCTCTCTCTCTGGTCTCATGGTGTCCAGCTACAATCTTCAACATATTTTGTTTTTGGTTGTAAATTTGAAAGGATTTTCTGAAGGTGTTGAACTTTATTTGTGTAGCACTAACATAGATCCTAGTGTAACTTTTCTGTTTTTACAAATGAACTGTTGCAGTGTCCTCACATGGCCCACCTCCTGCCGTTTGTGGAAAGTGGGATTCTGACCCTGTGTGACCCCTCTCTCCTCCTTCCCCCCTCCTCTCAATCACTGTGAGGAGTGAGACAAAATAAATGGAAAATGTTCACATGTATATTGTTCTTAACACTTTTTCAAGGCAGTCAAACACACACACATAATCACACAAACATACAGAGACACAGACATACGTACACACACTGGTGTGAGGTGGCTTAAGTGTCTTGCCCAAGGACTCACGAGGAGCAGTCACCAAGTGGAAACTTTAAGATGAAGATGACGAGATCCTTTATTTGTCCCGACCCTGGATTTACACATCTGCAACAACACAACGGTCTGATGGATGTTATTGAACTGGAAAACTTCATTTGACTTTTAATTCAGACCTGGGTGAGACATGTGGAGGGTTTATGTAACTGTGTGTGTTCTTGGTTGTGATTGGACCCTCATCTCTGGGTCTTGCTCCTGATTGGTTCGTCAGCTGTAGTCCGGTCACTGACCCTGGTCTCCTGTGAAGACAGAGGGACAGAGATAAAACCACAGAGTCACAGAAAAGAGGATCGACGTCTCTGTATCTACATCCGCTTGAATCCTCTGTGTTGTTGTGTGTTGGGGATGTCTGGTTTGCTGATGCGGCTGCTGCAGTGCGTGGTGTTCTGCTCGGTGCTGCTGCAGGCGGCGGCTGTGACCAGGACATACTTTATCAGAATCGAGGAAACAAACTGGAACTATGCCCCGAGCGACATGAACATGGTCCATAACCGGACGCTGGCGGAAGACGAGTGAGTGAGACCTCTGTCCTCTCTCTGTCCTCTCTGTCCACTCTGTCGTCTCTCTGTCCTCTCTGTCCTATCTCTGTCATCTCTGTCCACTCTGTCCTATCTCTGTCCTCTCCGTCCTCTCTGTCATCTCTGTCCTATCTCTGTCCTCTCCGTCCTCTCTGTCCTCTCTCTGTCCTCTCTGTCATCTCTGTCCACTCTGTCCTATCTCTGTCCTATCTCTGTCATCTCTGTCCACTCTGTCCTATCTCTGTCCTCTCTGTCCACTCTGTTCTATCTCTGTCCTCTCTGTCCTCTCCGTCCTCTCTGTCCTCTCTCTGTCCTCTCTGTTCTATCTCTGTCCTATCTCTGTCCTGTCTCTGTCCTCTCTGTCATATCTCTGTCCTCTCTGTCCTATCTCTGTCCTCTCTGTCCTCTCTCTGTTCTCTCTGTCCTATCTCTGTCCTCTCTGTCCTGTCTCTGTCCTCTCTGTCATATCTCTGTCCTCTCTGTCCTCTCTGTTCTATCTCTGTCCTCTCTCTGTTCTCTCTGTCCTATCTCTGTCCTCTCTGTCCTGTCTCTGTCCTCTCTGTCATATCTCTGTCCTCTCTGTCCTCTCTGTCCTATCTCTGTCCTCTCTGTCCTCTCTGTCCTCTCTGTCCTCTCTCTGTCCTATCTCTGTCCTCTCTGTCCTCTCTGTCATATCTCTGTCCTCTCCGTCCTCTCTGTCCTCTCTGTCCTCTCTGTTCTATCTCTGTCCTCTCTGTTCTATCTCTGTCCCCTCTGTTCTATCTCTGTCCTCTCTGTCCTATTTCTGTCCTCTCTGTCCTCTCTGTCCTGTCTCTGTCCTGTCTCTGTCCTCTCTGTCATATCTCTGTCCTCTCTGTCCTCTATGTCCTATCTCTGTCCTCTCTGTTCTATCTCTGTCCTCTCTGTCCTCTCTGTTCTATCTCTGTTCTCTCTGTCCTGTCTCTGTCCTCTCTGTCATGTCTCTGCCCTCTCTGTCCTATCTCTGTCCTCTCTGTTCTATCTCTGTCCTCCTCTATCCTCTCTCTGTCCTATCTCTGTCCTCTCTGTTCTATCTCTGTCCTCTCTGTTCTATCTCTGTCCTCTCTGTCCTCTCTATCCTCTCTCTGTCCTATCTCTGTCCTCTCTGTTCTATCTCTGTCCTCTCTGTCCTCTCTATCCTCTCTCTGTCCTCTCTGTCCTCTCTCTGTCATCTCTGTCCTCTCTGTTCTATCTCTGTCCTCTCTGTTCTATCTCTGTCCTCTCTGTTCTATCTCTGTCCTCTCTGTCCTCTCTCTGTTCTCTCTGTCCTTTCTCTGTCCTCTCTGTCCTCTCTCTGTCCTCTCTGTCCTGTCTCTGCCCTCTCTGTCCTATCTCTGTCCTCTCTGTTCTATCTCTGTCCTCTCTGTCCTCTCTATCCTCTCTCTGTCCTATCTCTGTCCTCTCTGTTCTATCTCTGTCCTCTCTGTTCTATCTCTGTCCTCTCTGTCCTCTCTATCCTCTCTCTGTCCTATCTCTGTCCTCTCTGTTCTATCTCTGTCCTCTCTGTCCTCTCTATCCTCTCTCTGTCCTATCTCTGTCCTCTCTGTTCTATCTCTGTCCTCTCTGTCCTCTCTATCCTCTCTCTGTCCTCTCTGTCCTCTCTCTGTCATCTCTGTCCTCTCTGTTCTATCTCTGTCCTCTCTGTTCTATCTCTGTCCTCTCTGTCCTATCTCTGTCCTCTCTGTCCTCTCTGTCATGTTTGTTTGCGGTTTATGTTAAAGCATAGATTTGAAGGTAAAATGGCAAACAAAAAAATAACAAACACAAAGAGACATGAGCACTGTCCTCAGACCCTCCTGCATCTGAGAGAAAGATAAGATTATATAAACTTTATCGTTTATTGATCTCACAGTGGAGATCAGATCCAGGACTGAGGCTGTATGCAGATCAAGGATTGTGTAGTGTTTCAGATTTATGCAGCTACAATCTGGAACAGTCTTCCTAAAAATGTGAGACATGCTTCTTCTCTGACAATGTTCAGATCCAGGTTAAAAACAGTTCTGTTTCTGCAACAACTGAAGGATTCCATCTTTCACTCTTGTTGATGTACTGTGAGTTTCCTTGTGTATGAACTGTGCTATATAAACCTGGCTGAAGGTATTACTTATTTTCAGAGATGCCTCGGTATTCCTGAAGCGCGGCCCTCAGAGGATCGGCTCCGTGTACAAAAAGGCGGTTTACAAACAGTACACGGACGCTCTGTACAGGACTGAGATCACGAAGCCGCAGTGGCTGGGTCTGCTGGGCCCTCTGCTCATGGCCGAGGAGGGCGACACCATCAAGGTCCAGCTCCGAAATGCTGCCTCCCGCCCCTACAGCATCCACCCCCATGGCCTCAACTACAGCAAGGGCAATGAGGGTGAGTCCAGAGGCAGCTTTATTTATGTGGCACAGTTTATACACGAGAGAACTCAAAGTACAGAACAAAATTGTTATTTTTTTCATTTCTTTATCTAACGCCATGTGATACAAATTCCAAAACATAAATTACTATGTGCAACATAGTAGTGCAGAATATGTTGGTGGAGGGTTAGGGAGGGGGGAGGGAATTTTTTAACATCCAAAGCAATGACCAAAGAAAAAATAAGATAAAGTATGTAAAAACAAAGTACTGTGTAAAGTGTGTATGTGCATATGTGCATATGTTTATTTGCAAGTTTTCATTATTTTTTATTTTGTGTTTTGTGCGTGTCTTACATAGTGCATTAAAAACATACAAGGCTTTTTAGTAGAATTAAGCATAACAAAATTATACATTCTTCATCCATACATCCATCCATCAATTTTCTTCCGCTTTACCCGTTGCCGGGTTGAAGGGACAACCAAACACACAGACTTCTCTCTTCACACACACCTCTTCCAGCTCATGGGGGGAATCCCAGCTGACAGACACAGCCCCTGGGTCTTCCCCTGGTCTCTTCCTAGTGGGACATGCCCAGAACAAAGTGGCGTCCAGGAGGCATCCTAAACAGATAAGCCACCTCCACTTGCTCCTCTCCATGTGGAGGAGCAGCGACTCCACTCCGAGTTCCTCCCACTGAGTTTATCCCCCTAAGGGAGATCCCAGCCACTCTTTTGTTCATTTTCCTTAAAGATTATTTTATCTTATTTTCATTTCGGTCACTTTCTGTCATTACTAAAAGCTAATTCCAATAGGTGAGGAAGGGGAAAAGGAGCTCGGTCTGCAGACGCTGCTCACTCATGGAGGAGAGGAAGAGAACATAGTTTCTCCACAGCGGGAATATTGTGACTATATTTTTATGTTACTTAACATGTTTAAGGCAATCTGTGCTGTGTGCCTGTATCTGTCTCAGGAGCCTTCTACCCTGACGGCACCAACCTGAAGCAGGACGACGCAGTGCCCCCTGGTGGCACTGTGGTGTATGAGTGGACTCTCCCTGAATCTCATAGTCCAACAAATGATGACCCAAACTGCCTCACGCGCTTCTACCACTCACACACCTACGCCATCAAAGACATCGCCTCAGGACTCATCGGGCCCCTGCTCATCTGCAAGAGAGGTCTGAGTCAGAGAGAGAGTCAGAGAGAGAGTCAGGGAGAAAGTGCGTCAGAGAGAGAGAGAGAGAGTGAGAGAGAGAGAGAGTGTGAGAGAGAGAGAGAGTCAGGGAGAAAGAGCGTCAGAGAGCGAGAGTGAGTAAAGAGAGTGAGTCAGAGTGAGTCAAAGAGAGAGAGAGAAAGAGTCAGAGAGAGAGAGAGAGAGATTCGAAGAGTGTGAGAGAGAGTCAGAGAGAGTTTATTTATCACTCTGTTTTTGTCGTTTACTTCTGCAATACATCACTTTATTTTGTTTCTTAAATGCATTTTTGTTGTTCTAACTGAAAATAGACTATAGTATTCTGCAAAATCAACTTTTTGCGCATTTGTCTGTGTTTCTCTCTTCCTTTGTCTCTCTCTCCCTCCCTCCCGCTCTCCCTTCCTCTCTCTCTCTACCACACTCCCCCCTCTGTCTGTCTCTCCCTTCTTCCCTTCCTCCCTCCCTCTCTCTGTAGGGACCTTGGATCTCCATGGAGACAGCTCTGGAGACTACATCTACTCTTTGCTCTTCATGGTGCTGGATGAGAACATGAGCTGGTATCTGGACGACAACATTCGCTCCTACATCACGGCTCCCATCAAGTCTCTGAAGGAGGACGAGGACTTCATGGAGAGCAACAAGATGCACGGTGAGCAAGACCGACCAGGACTTAACCAGGACTCTCAAACTCAACTTATCTGGTGGCCACGTCAGGTCGAGTCTTGGGTGAGGCTGGGACACATTGTTTTATGTATATTTATTACATGTTTGTATGTGTGCAGAATGAATCAACCTTGGAGCAAACTGATCTATTCAGATTAATTTTATTCCCCATTTGCAGTAAAAGCACATTAGAATACATTTGCAGAAGTCCCCAGTGTGCACCTGGGGGTACATACATAAAATAAGGTAAAATGTACAAAACTAGCTAAATACAGGAGCAGAACAATGTGCAGGAACATTTGTCACTGTGAAATCAATCAAAAACAGTTTAAATACAAGTGCAAGATGCTTTGTTTACACACATATTCACACAAAGAGATAGAACCACTAAAACTGTAAACGCTATTTCACTGTGGATCTTCTTATTCTTTAGCATTAACAGTAGATAAGTAAACGATTGATCTCTCTCTTGTCTCTCTCTGGTCACTCTCTGGTCTCTCTCTCTGGTCTCTCTCTGGTCTCTCTCTGGCCTCTCTCTGGTCTCTCTCTGATCTCTCTCTGGTCTCTCTCTGGTCTCTCTCTGGCCTCTCTCTGGTCTCTCTCTGGTCTCTCTCTGGTCTCTCTCTGGTCTCTCTCTGGTCTCTCTCTGGCCTTACTCTGGTCTCTCTCTGGCCTCTCTCTGGCCTCACTCTGGCCTCACTCTGGCCATTCTCTCTGGCCTCTCTCTGGTTACTCTTTCTGTCCTCTCTCTCTAGTCTCTCTCTGGTCTATCTCTGGTCTCTCTTTCTGGTCTCTCTTTCTGAGGCAGTAAATGCGTAAGACTTAATTAATTCAAACTGTGACTTTTATCAGAGATATCATGGAATACTGCCTTCCAAATGGGATAAAACATCGTTGCTTCCATTGATTATCCATTGATAGATAGATCGATAGAGACCCCAGATTCCAGACTGGTTTGTATTCTGGGACTCTCCCAGTTAAGTCCCAAAGCACAGTTACTTTATTAATTGTAAGATGGGTAAACTTTTTATTGGCCCAGACCCTTACACTAACATTACAGTTTGATGTCCACTAGGGGGCGACTGAATACCTTGTTTGAGCCACGGGACTGATGTAAAAATCTGTATTAAAACCATTATACAAATCATAGTTTAACAGATTGTATATTTTTGAGCATAGTAAGTGTGAGGTGAAGGGGAGACCTCTGCAGAACAGTCTCAGTCGTACAAAGTGTGACTCCACTGATTCTATAGTCTGTGTTTTGCAGCAATCAACGGTTTTGTGTTTGGGAACCTGCCTGGACTGAGCATGTGCCAAGGAAACAAGATCTTCTGGCATCTGATGACACTTGGCAACGAGGTGAAGAGAACAGCAACATAGCAGCGTCCACCAATGACCAGCCAGTCTGTGTATCACCATCCAATATTCACCATCATAATCATCTGATACTGTATTCTACAACTCTCAAGACCAACATGAGGCCTCACATGCATGTGTTTTTGGCCTCTGTTAGATCTTTAAATAAGCTTATTCCGGTCTCTCTCTGGTCTCTGTTTGGTCTCTGTCTGGTCTCTCTCAAGTCATTCTCTGGTCTCTCTCTGGTCTCTCGAGTCTCTCTCTCTGGCCTCTCTCTGGTCTCTCTCTGGTCTCTCGAGTCTCTCTCTATGGCCTCTCTCTGGTCTCTCTCAGGTCTCTCTCGAGTCTCTTTCTCCAGTCTCTCTCTCTGGTCTCTCTTCCAGGTATTTCTGTGGTCTCTCTCAGGTCTCTCTCTGGTCTTTCTCTAGTCTCTCTGGTCTCGCTCTACTCTCTTGAGTCTCGAGTCTCTCTCAGGTCTCTCTCTCTGGTCTCTGGAGTTCCATGCTCTTTCCTTTTGGTGCCTGTTAAACGTACATACTTTCTGACTTCCTTAAGTGTGATTCTATATGCCACAGGAAGCCAGTGAGTAATTTTAACACTGGAGTTGTGTGTTCTTACTTTTTGGTGCCTGTTAAACTACTTTCTTACATTTTCTTGCTTTCTTAAACTTCTTTCTTACAACAAACTCTTCATCTCTGAACTGCTCTGTGGTCTCAGGGGGACATGCACTCGGTCCACTTCCACGGACAGGTCCTGACCTCGCAGCAGCACCACACAGACACCATCAGTCTGTTTCCTGGTTCCACCGCAGCGGCAGAGATGATGGCGGACAATGTGGGCCACTGGCTTCTGTCCTGCGACGTCAACGACCACCTCATGGGTACAGAACATATAACCTGTCAACAACGGACAATGCTAACAAGCTAGCTCAATGAAGATAGACATAGATAGATGGATGGATGGATGGATAGATGGATAGATACATTGATGGATGAATTGATTATGTATTGATCAGGACGGATGTGTTTCTCCAGCAGTAGAAACACATCCGTCCGAACAAACATCAACAAACAATGCTAACCTGCTAGCTCAATGAACATGGTCAGACAGACACTTTATTGATACCTGTAGAAGAACAGAAGACATAAAGCTAAAGTCAGTTAGCATGCTGACTGTGCACTTCCTTGGTTTCACACAGCAAGTGGTGTATGTCTGTGGAGTTGTGTATGTGTGTGTGTCTCTTGTGTGACCCGTGTGTGTGTTTTTTCTGTGACTCATGTTTGTGTTGCAGCCGGGATGCAGGCTTTTTTTGAGATCAAGAAGTGTTTCCCAAACGTGCATAAGCCCCGCCCAGTCGGAGAAACACGAGAAATGTTTATCGCAGCAGAAGAAGAAGTCTGGGACTACGCCCCCAACACTCCCACTGAGAGGTGACACACACAGACACACACACACACACACACACACACACAGACACACACACACATACGCGTTTGCTTGACAAATGAGGACCTATGTCTGCACTGTGACATATCAAGACGTGCCTTTCTGAAGGTCCCAGAGACCTGAGGATCACATAGGGGGGAGCAGGGTGTGATCAGTAACACAGCTAGCTGTTGATATTTTGGTTAAAAGAAACTTTTTTCCCGCATGATTTTATTGCCACATATGAGGACCTTGACAGGTCTGAGTGACATATTAGGACCTACAACAAACACATCCGGTCTGAGTGACATATTAGGACCTACAACACACACATCAGGTCTGAGTGAGATATAAGGACCTACAACACACACATCAGGTCTGAGTGAGATATTAGGACCTACAACACACACATCAGGTCTGAGTGAGATATTAGGACCTCTAACAAACATCAGGTCTGAGTGAGATATTAGGACCTACAACACACACATCAGGTCTGAGTGAGATACTAGGACCTATAACACATGCATCAGGTCTGAGTGAGTTATTAGGATCTTCAGCAAAAACATCAGGTTTGAGTGAGATATTAGGACCTTCAGCAAACACATCAGGTCTGAGTGAGATATTAGGACCTACAACACACACATACGGTCTGAGTGAGATATTAGGACCTACAACACACACATCAGGTCTGAGTGAGATATTAGGACCTATAACACACACATCAGTCAGAGTGAGCTATTGGACCTATAAACCCTATACACACCATCAGGTCTGAGTGAGATATTAGGACCTACAACACACACATCAGGTCGAGTGAGATATTAGGACCTACAACACACACATCAGGTCTGAGTGAGATATTAGGACCTACAACACACACATCAGGTCTGAGTGAGATATTAGGACCTACAACACACACATCAGGTCTGAGTGAGATATTAGGACCTATAACACACACATCAGGTCTGAGTGAGATATTAGGACCTATAAACACACATCAGGTCTGAGTGAGATATTAGGACCTACAACACACACATCAGGTCTGAGTGAGATATTAGGACCTACAACACACACATCAGGTCTGAGTGAGATATTAGGACCTATAACACACACATCAGGTCTGAGTGAGATATTAGGACCTACAACACACACATCAGGTCTGAGTGAGATATTAGGACCTACAACACACACATAGACAACACACATCAGGTCTGAGTGAGATATTAGGACCTACAACACACATCAGGTCAGGTCTGAGTGAGATATTAGGACCTACAACACACACATCAGGTCTGAGTGACATATAGGACCTACAACACACACATCAGGTCAGAGTGAGATATTAGGACCTACAACACACACATCAGGTCTGAGTGAGATATTAGGACCTACAACACACACATCAGGTCTGAGTGAGATATTAGGACCTACAACACACACATCAGGTCTGAGTGAGATATTAGGACCTACAACACACACATCAGGTCTCAGAGAGTGAGATATTAGGACCTACAACACACACATCAGGTCTGAGTGAGATATTAGGACCTACAACACACACATCAGGTCTGAGTGAGATATTAGGACCTACAACACACACATCAGGTCTGAGTGAGATATTAGGACCTAACACACACATCAGGTCTGAGTGAGATATTAGGACCTACAACACACACATCAGGTCTGAGTGAGATATTAGGACCTACAACACACACATCAGGTCTGAGTGAGATATTAGGACCTACAACACACACATCAGTCTGAGAGATATTAGGACCTACAACACACACATCAGGTCTGAGTGAGATATTAGGACCTACAACACACACATCAGGTCTGAGTGAGATATTAGGACCTACTAACACACACATCAGGTCTGAGTGAGATATTAGGACCTACAACACACACATCAGGTCTGAGTGAGATATTAGGACCTACAACACACACAGTCAGGTCTGAGTGAGATATATTAGGACCTCAACACCATAGTCTGAGTGAGATATTAACACAACACATCAGGTCTGAGTGAGATATTAGGACCTACAACACACACATCAGGTCAGAGTGAGATATTAGGACCTACAACACACACACATCAGGTCTGAGTGAGATATCACACACATCAGTCTGAGTGAGATATAGGACCTACAACACACACATCAGGTCTGAGTGAGATATTAGGACCTATAACACACACATCAGGTCAGAGTGAGATATTAGGACCTATAACACACACATCAGGTCTGAGTGAGATATTAGAACCTACAACACACACATCAGGTCTGAGTGAGATATTAGGACCTACAACACACACATCAGGTCTGAGTGAGATATTAGGACCTACAACACACACATCAGGTCTGAGTGAGATATTAGGACCTATACACACAAATCAGGTCTGAGTGAGACATTCGGGATGTTTGATATGATCATGCAGCTTATTGGACAAAATTGTTCAGCCAATAAACAGAACTATATTTGAAGCAACGAACCTGATGACGCTCAGGCGGTTACATTTTCTAAAAACCTTAGAACGCAACATTTTCGCAATAGTGTGTGTATAGAAATAACAATATTTAAATTATGTCTTTTAATACAAAAGGCAAATGACTTGAGAGGCGAGGAACAAATTTGAGTAGGCCAAGATAAAAACTGGTAAAAACTACCCAGGCCTATACCTGGCGCCGCGGCCGGCTTAGAAGGCCTGGGATGCCCACAGCGTCATCAGTCTACGCGCCTCTGTGTGGATCACACATCTCTCTTCGGGCTGGAGCTATGGCTGGAGCATTTTGAGGGTTTTTTAAGCAGGAGTCAGGAAGGTGGCGATCTTACGGGTGTTTGTGATTTTTTGGTTTAACAGCCTCCCTGTTAAACTTAATTATATATATAATTATATATAGGGATCAGGAGCTTTATGACCCGACCTACCCGCATCCGACATGACTCATATTTTTGAGGCATCCAACCCGCCCGAAACTGCGGGTTGACCGCGGCTTTCGGGCTGACCCGCGCATCACTACCCCCTTAGGTAACACGTTGCCATAGCTATACACAGGGCCGATGGACGACGCTCATCAAACCGAGTCTAGTTCGTTGCCGAGTCGAGTTTGATGGCGAGTAGAGTCGGCCCGAGGAAACAGCCAGTGATACGCAGGAACGCATGCACAACAAATTACTATATACATACACGGCGCCCCGACTCCACCGGGCGCATAAAACGACGACGTATCCGTCCAAACGCGTCCGTTTCATCCCGTTTCCTTTATCTCCATGAGGGTGAATGGAAGTGGCTCACGGCCCTGCCAACATGCGTCATTCCGTCAACGAGGGTGCAACGGACGCGGTACGGACGAAATCAAAACAATTATTACCCCGTCCGTCGACTCGTGTCGCTACCGTTTTTCATTTAAAATACAATGGAAAAAGTATATTTCACTACATTATTTAACATGTATTGATATAAGTGCCTGTAGTCCTTGGTTATAACTGTTTGTTAATGACAATGAAACAAAATGTGTGTCATTTTGTTTCATGTATTAAACTGAAATAATTGTTTCCTGATCGTAAATCTACCATTTACTTTTCGCGCAATGTTAATACGCTAAACTTTACATACACCTCGCTCTTTTAGTTTCTTGCTCTGTCCCTGTCTACCTCCGAGGCGCTCTCTCCTAACCGCCGCTCCACACACACACACACACTGCACTTTTGCACGCCCACGCACACATGCACGCCAATAATACATTACTCCTCCATCAGCCAACCATTCATTTATTCACACGGGGACGATTTCTTACGAAAATATAAGCTCAATAAAGGGTCAAATTTTATTCGAAATGTCTTAAAACTCAGACACACCACCCCTCTAATACAGACGAACCAGAATCCAACGTTTCAACCTGTTCGGTGCACTCGTTAGCTACTTAGCTTCCATTGGCCAAAAATGAGTGGGCTACCCGAATATATTGAGAAGAGAATATTGTCTGCATTTAACACCAGCCAACCTCTCTTACTGAAGGAGAAACAGAAGAAACAGAGTTGATCCCATCTTTTCAACTGGATATATAATTACTAGGGCTGTCCAAAATATCGCGTTTAAAACGGCGTTACACGCAACTCAAAATTAACGCCGTCATTTTTTTTATCGCGCGATAAAAAAAAAAAAAAAAAAAAAGAATGGAGCTGGGGGGAGGGGGTTAATAAAAAGGGCAATACAAGCCAAAAAAAACAAAGGGTAGACAGACATAGATATAACCGAAAGTAAACAGAGAACACAGCAGAGAGTATTTACATGAACAAATTTACAAAAAATTTACAGATTGGTTTATATCCATCATCATATTGACCCATGATTTCTATACAGATCCTAAGGACTATACCCCACACATACACACACACACACCCACATTGAAGGGCTTTTTGATACCAATTATTTATTTGTCCATCCATATATTGATGATTTTGCATCAAATGTTATGTGTAATAGAACACTACACATTGTTTTCATAAATAAAGCACTAGCACAAGCACGCAATGTGAGACTAATTTGCGATTATCGCGCGTAACTATGAAATTCCTGCGATAATCCGCGATTAAATATTTAATACGATGGACAGCACTAATCTTACCTGACTTGTGTGTGTCACACAGTATGTCAGGTTAGGGGAAGAGCTGTCTGGACTTTTGTGAGCCATAATGGAGCACCACAGGGTATCATTCTGCACCCTTCCTCTTCACTGATTACACTAGCAAATTTGCACACAACTTTGCTACATGCCTGTACAAAAATAGGACTATAGGCAGGTGCACATAAGTGTACGCAGGTCGCATGCGTGACATCACTTAGTTTGTAAGCGCTTTTGCGTACATTCACCTTGACCAGTCCATCTCAAATAGGTGGCGCTCCTCCCTGGGTCTGAGCAATAACATCCTTCGTTCTGCCCCGGGAGAAACCCTGTGGCGCTTCGACAGCTCAGCAAGTGGTGCGGGACATGTACCGAGCCGA